GGTTGGAAGATCCAAGGAGTGCCCTCTAAATGTGCTTGTGGAAATGTTAACAGTATCTACCACGCCCTTGACTGTAAACTAGGCGGATACGTTAGCATGCGCCACAACGCTATTAGAGAAACTGCTGCTTTCTTCCTCCGAGAAGCAAAGTGTAAAGACGTAAGGATAGAACCAGCACTCATGACAGTCCAACCAAGCTCCTTCTCAAGAAAGACCAACACCCAGGATAAAGCCCGTCTTGATGTTGCAGCTGTCGGATTGTATGCACCCTTTGAAAGAACATTCTTTGACATTAGGGTCACACATCCTAACTGTGACACAAACACATTTAAGACGCTAGATAAGATCTATAAAGAAAGAAAAGAAAGATTTGTATGCTGTGAGGTGTCTCAGCTACATGGGTTGGGGGTCCCCCTTTTTTTTCAACAAGACTGCAATTCAAATAAGATGGGAACAGATGGGAACACTGACTCAAGCAATTGTAATCTCATCGCTTGACTACTGCAATGCGCTTTACTACGGTTGTAGTCAAGCCTCAATTACGCAGCTGCAGAACATTCAGAACCGAGCATGCCGTCTGGTTTTTGGATTAAAGAAGAGAAACTCAGTCGAGGAGAAGCTCAAATCCCTTCATTGGCTCAAGGTGAAGGAAAGGATTGAGTTTAAGTTATGCTTACTGATTTTCAAAGCAGTCAATGGTGTTGCTCCTGCATATCTGTGTGATCTAGTAACATTTGTTAGTTCGAGTAGCAGAAGAACTTCCTCCTTACACCTACCTGTCGGATCTACAAGATCGCACCCAAGAGCGTTTCAGACTGTTGCTCCGAAAATCTGGAACCAACTACCAATTGAAATTAAGACTTGTTCTGATGTTGATCTGTTCAAAACATTATTAAAAACTCACCTGTTTAAGAAAAGTTATGGCATGAGCGATTAATTCAATGAAACTAATAAATCAATGAAACTAATAAATCAATGTTTTAGCTCATTTTACAAAGTCAAATATTTAAAACAATTAAAGTTGTATAGTGCTCAATTTGTAAATGACTAGTTGATCTTTGCTATTGGAAGTTTGTCAAGGACTGGCAGCTAGCGGGGCAAGGAATGCACGGGCTTAGGGGCTTTTGTGCACACCAGAACACTAGCTCGGTAGATTTTTGGAAACTAGAAGGACTGAAAACTAAAATTGTTTTTGATGGAGGCATGTTTTTGAGAGGGACGGTATAATAGCTTGTGGTAACAACTGGCCTTTACTTTAATAGGATGAAGTTTTAGTTTTAGGACAGGAAGAAGGCATTAACACCCTACGCGCGTGGGGTGGACTCCTGGGGTGGACTTTTATTCAGCGCGTATTTTGTAGCCTGTTCAACTTGACGTTTTGATTCGTTACTATCTCAATGTCACAGATACACAGAATGTGAGGTGATCATCTTAAAGAGAAACGTCTCAGCTTTCACCTGGTGTAAAGTTTATCTTTGTACTCAAAATATAGCTCGCTCAGTGTGCAATAGAAGTTGACAATACAATAACCACGTCTGCGACCGGTCGTCAGAAACCGGAGTGTTGCACAAAATTGGGTCCCTAAATTAAAATTCTATGACACAGTTACCATGCAGAAATGTCTGGAGTAACATTTGGTGAAAATTTGAAGGGTCTACTGTAAATATTGCAAAAGTTATTGAAAACAAACTAGCTTAATCAGAAGTTTTTGGGAAAATTTCAAATTTTGTACGTAGTGGGGTCTACAGGGGTGGACTCTTGCGGCGCGCATCTGACGGAGTGGCTTTTTCAACAGCCGTCAGTACGGCCAATATCAGAGCACAAATTATTGTGAGTAAGACCTTAATGATCAGCTATGAACCCCTCACTAGAGTAGTAACCGTATCTAAAAACAAGGAAATGTTATTCCGTCAAAGCTCAAATTTTTTACTCTTCTCAGTGCAGTTAGTGTTACTATGAATGTACTAGCTAAGTATCGTTGATCGTAGCTGCATTACACAGTAGAAAGTAACCAAGGAAGACTGCTGATTAACGAAGCAATTTCAACGTGAACAGTTCCAAAATACATAATCATGGCGACGATAGTTCAACTTGAACCTTTATAGTTTTTACAGTCTAAAATCACAATAAAATCACGTGAACTGCAAATCACAAAATCAAATCACTCAAATCTGATAGTCCCGTTACAGTACGCTTTCGTGACAACCTCAACGCTTAAAAAATAAATATTATCCAGTCTTGTGACCACCGATGGCCCTAACTCTCCCTTGTCCGCGAGGAGCATCGTTGCGACCATGGGGTTTCAGTTCTTTGTTCTTCCCACTCGGCTTCGATAGATCGAATTGGCTGGAAGTCAATCTATCAGAAAGACCTTTGTCGATCTCAGGGGCGTGGTAAATTGTGGATGTCGGAGTATAAAGCTTCCTGAAAAGATTGAGACATTCACTCGGTCTGTTGTAAATATCAAATAGTCCTTGTAGGCAGAGATTTAACTTATGTTGGGTTTGATAACTAGAGAAGGCGATTTGATATTCATTGATAGTATAAGCATATAAGCATAAGTGATAAGTTTATATACCCTTTTTATGGTACCTCGAGGCTCGATATCTGTATTCAGTAATCATCACTCAAAATCTACTTATTAAATTTATTAACTAAACAAGTTAATGTATTACCGTCCTAGAGGGGTTTCCTGAGAATTTGAAGTCTCTGTAGGTTGCTGGCATGTCTACTAAGCTCTTCGATTGAGGAGTTTTGGACCCCTCGGCGGTCCAAATGATTTATAATGCTGTGGGCATTTTCAACATCTATCGAGGTAAACGCCCTCGCAGCATAACCTGTAGAGAATGAACATGTCATCAATGTGAAGTTCAATGATAAAAATCAGAGTGGCCGATTTCAACGGGCAGAATTCTAATATCATGGCCATGGGGAATGGACTATTTTTTGTCGATTTTGCAAACCAAACTGGCAAACGATTGTTGATTTTCGTCACTAGTCTAAAATGAATGCAAACGTTCGGCCGAACATTTACATGATTAGAAACTTACCGGTTTCTTTCGTTATTATGTACAGACATGGCCGGGCTTGGGTTCCGCATACGATATCTTCTATCAGATTAAAGTTGAACCCACACTTTGTACTGCTCGTGGGAGGAGGAAAGCAAACGGAGACCTTTTCCATGAGCATCTCGTGTAGTACCATCATCATGTCGATTCTGATATCAGCTGCAAAATTCGTCTATTACTAAATGCTAGCTTTTCGAACTTCGTATCTTGGAAATAACAACTTCTATGAAAGAACACACACACACACACACACACACACACACACACACACACACACACACACACACACACACACACACACACACACACACACACACACACACACACACACACACACACACACACACACACAGACACACACAGATACACACACCCACAAACACATACAGACATAGACACACACACACAGAGACACAGACATACAGGCATACAGGCATAAACACAGACACAGACGGACACACAGACAGACACACAGACAGACACAGTTACACACAGACAAGGACACACAGACACACACCCACAAACACATACAGACATAGACACACAGACACAGGCATAAACACAGACACACACAGACACAGACGGACACACAGACAGACACAGTACACACAGACACACACAGACACACATAGTTCACTTCAGTGCACTACATTACAATTACAGACACACGCAGTACAATCAGAGACACACACACGATACAAAGACAGACACAGACACAAACACACAGAGTACACTTCAGTACAATCACAGACGCAGGCACAAAGACATATACAAGAAGAGCAGATTGAAGTACCTTCATTTGCAGATGTTGACGCATTGATCTGTGGGATATGTTCTTCAGTCTGTAACTGATCATCTGCTAGAACTGTCTCATCTGGATCAACCGGAGGAGTATCTTCCGGCAGGAGTCTGAGTGGGTCTATCGGGACAGCCATGGATCGCTCTCCCTACCTTGTTGAATTAAAGACAAAGGTCAACGACGGATGTCGCATGTTAGTCCTGTAACTAAATGTAATCCAAAATAGTGAATAAATAATTTTTACATCTGAACGATTGTATGTCTGAATGGTGATTTTTAATCAATGAACAAAAGTTCAGGATTTTACCTTCTGTTAAGCTGTTAGCAATGACTCTAGCACCCTCTCCCTACAAAACGACCATATCTCGGTCTGAAGCTTTAAACCGTCTTGCCTCAGCAGCCATCTAGCACAGTCGACCTGTCCTGTTAATTGTGTGATCATCAAGTTACCAAATTTAATCCTTCAATATTCAAATAATTGATTATTAGACAAAACAGAGTTTAGAGCTCGACGTATGCTTCAGGGTTTCACACTGTGCTGTAATCAAACGCATGACTAAAACCTCTTGCTACTATTACCAATAAACCCATATTGTTAAGGCGGTCGAATGATTTACCTGAGTTGATCGCGTCCATGAAAGGGTTAAACTGCGTTCTGTCCAGCTTGTTAATGTCCGTTCCAGCAGCCAGCAGTGCCTCCGCCTCCGTCACTCTCCCTGCTTTGCATGGCCAGTGAAGCGTAGAGCTCCCCTCTAAGCTCTTTGACGATCCGACGAAGGATCCAGATTCCCTTCTTTTCTTTTGAGATTGCTTCAATTCTTCCTGGAGTATGCGGATTACCATTTATATACTTCCATACAGGGCGCGTGAACAATCAGCAATGAATTATCAATTAATCAATCTAGTTTTTGAGTAGAAAGTCCACAGATTGTGATACATTGGATTTGATATTGGAAAAGACATAGCTTACCAAATACCTTTTCATGGGCTTTTTGGAGGACAGGGATGACTTATTCCTGCGTGCCATTACACCATAACTATCTGCTGTAACAGCAAAAATTAGAATTATGTCGGACATAATTCTAAAAAATTGGAACATCGTAGTTAATCAGTGTGGTGCTAACAACAGAGAGGTAGGGTGAGAATCCCTGCCACGTTTTTGGTCAGTTTCGCCGGGGCTCATGTCTTTCCTCGAGGGAGCATTAGTGTCTACAGAAAAACTGACAAATCCTAGCGAAGTCCAATCCTAACCACATCTTCCATCAGAGGTGGTGCTTGGTCAGCTGGTTACTGAACGGATTGGCCTGGAGAATGGCATAGTCCTGTTACTCTCAAGTTAACCATAGAGGGGGACAGGCGCTGTTCGCTCACGGCTGGTTCTTGGAGCCAACACCCTCAGCCCCACATAAGTGGGAGCACTGTCGGTGGTGGCTCACCCAGATAACGGACAGTGTCTCTCCTTCTTTCTTCTTGGACTTGCATTGTTGCTGGCGAGTCAGCCAGTAGCAATGCAGCATCTCACTCACTCAATCACCTCAGCAATTCGGTCCTTTTTTTCATTTGCATTACCTTCGCTCATTCTCCTGTCATAATGCATTCTCTGCTACCATAAGCCTTTCTTACCACGGTGTAACGCATGTTACACCTTGCGTCTTTCTCTAACACCATCATCATTTCAGCAACCTTGGAATTTCAACCCTACACAGGTACACAGCACTATGGATATCCACTCTCCACTCTACGGCGAACACAAAGCTAGAGATCTAATTAGGATTCGAGTACCCCGGCTACCCTTGTGACATACATATGTGGAAACCAGTTTAAGCAGCAGTACATCAACACAATGGATCAGCACTACGAAATCTGATATCTGCATCATACTACTCCGATCCAGAAATCTTCGCTAAACCATCACATGAGATGAATAACTACAAGTTGGACTCCACATAACATTATTCCTTGTTCTGATCAGTCAATAAATGTAATCTGCATCAATTTTCCAATAATTACATCTTCTTACTAGTTTATTTTCCCTCTCAGGGCTGGAACGCAATGTTACAGCCCACTTTATAAATTACTAAAACTCGAGTTATTCCAGATTGACGACTTGACACAGATATTCATCAGACAACCTAAATAAAGGACTCCCACTCTCCAAACCAGTAGAGATCCAATCACTGCCTCCAGGGTACCCCTTCATCCGGTATTAGCAGTTCCTCCACCACCACCAGGTTAGAACACTCCCACTAATCACCCCTAAAAAACGAACCTACCGCCTTGCTCCACCAAACACAACTTCAATGAAATCCAGTTACTCAAACCAGTTAAATCCGTCCTTCAAATTTCCCGCATTAAACGTAACGCGCGAACGCCATACAACTCAAGGACGTAGCAACCTAATAGTCGTCATTTTTTAAACAGAAAATTTAGTGCGCGCGCGCGCGAGCCTGCGCGCGCACGAGCTTACGACTATTCCACGAGATTACGACAAATCCACATAATTGAAACGTTCCATCACTCCAGGTTGATCTGATTAGTAAACTCAAGGAAGATGATACCAGATCAGTCCCGAACTTCGCCTCAGCATCATACTCTGCCTAGTGTCGATAAAGAGGATTCACAAACAATCGAGATTCACTTACAAATATTTGCTATTACTTTTTACAATTGCAGTTATATTCGTTGTTTTAATTATCTCCATCAACCTTGAATCTGTCACTGCCCATACTACATTCCCAAAATTATCTTAGCGCTCTTTCATCGTCAAACCCCACTAGTTCACTACATACGCCAACCAATAAACCTCAATTAGGATGGTTTTTGCAACACATTCTACAAGCTTAGAACTTATAAAGTAACAGCACCATCATAACCCACACATTACCTTCGCACAAATCAGCTATTCCCCATTCACTCACGAGCGTCGACATATCTCCGCATGTACATCTGTAAACTGGAGCGGCCCCCCGCGATGCGGAGCAGGTGAGCTACCTGGTTCGGGCTACTTCACTTATCAGAGTACGCTAGCTCCACAATACACTCGCTTCAAGCCCTCAGATTTGCACGCATCCATCACCTTCACAGGGCCGGCTGCCCACATCCTGTAAAATCCTGATTCTATATGCTCGCGGGGTCTATTACCTGTTTGAGCTCTATTATTACGCGCGCGTGCCCAGTGTACAGCCCACCGGCTTGCGCTGTCCTCTTGGCATTGTTGTCGCCTTTATGACCTTCAAATCTAAAAGTAGGTTGAGGGCACTACATGGGGTCTAGCGCTGCCCCGTGTCAAAATACATACATACATACATACATACATAACAACAGAGAGCGATTTGAACGGTAGGCAATTTCATAAATTCCATTAACGCGATATAAGGATGATTGGAACAGGCTAAAATCTACTATGTAGCATTGATAACTGGCTATATCGCTGCATTAAACGATAAAAGTATTGCTAACTATGGATATTCTAAGTGATCTAGGCAGAGGGGAACCGGCACAGCCAGATTGCGTTGTCTTCAGTGACTAAGTTTCACGATAGTAAAATTGACCTTATTTATTTTTAAAAAGGATGCACAGTTCAAGCAATAAATCGATCAGCTGCTCATATGATATTTGCATTTAAAGGAGGGCCCAGTGCAGTGACAAGTAAGTCTGTTAAGGCAACATTTAGTTCTGAGATTAGCTGAGTCTTGACAAAGATAAGTTGAGTTTCGAGAAAGTGCACACGGATAAAGTTATCAAGTGAAAATGATAAGACTAAGTTAGGGTCCAGTCAACAGAATGGCAGCTGTAACAGAAACAGTTCATTGGATAGGGGAGTAGGGGATTATGACGGAGTGAAGTTTATATAGCAGGGCAAACAAAAAACAACTGACAGCACTGAGCAAGTGAACTGGAAAATTGAGGAAGGGAAATAACTGTGGTTGTCAGCCCTTTCCGTAGCAATCAGGATTTCCCACGAGATCGATCAGGCAATCAGGATTTCCCACGAGACTGCTCCATCCGATGCGCGCACTTTTGTCACGTGACGGCCACGTGACGCTCAAATCGTTGTCACGTGGTACAGAAGGGAGGTTCCTAGAGCGTTGATCTCGACAAGAGGGAGTTTCTCACGGTTTATCTTCAATAACTATCGCTATTTTTATAGTAGAGAGTTGAAACTTTCACCAAATGTTTCCCTAGACATTTCTGCATGGTAACTGTGTCATAGAATTTTAATTTAGGGACCCAATTTTGTGCAACACTCCGGTATCTGACGACCGGTCGCAGACGTGGTTATTGTATTGTCAACTTCTATTGCACACTGAGCGAGCTATATTTTGAGTACAAAGATAAACTTTACACCAGGTGAAAGCTGAGGCGTTTCTCTTTAAGATGATCACCTCACATTCTGTGTATCTGTGACATTGAGATAGTAACGAATCAAAACGTCAAGTTGAACAGGCTACAAAATACGCGCTGAATAAAAGTCCACCCCAGGAGTCCACCCCACGCGCGTAGGGTGATTAAGAAGATTTGCTCTTTGTTTACAAGGCAGAATATAAGCAATGTTGGTTATAATATGTATCAATATCTAGATCTTCGTTTATCAATTTTCACTAAATGGGTTTAAAATTTTAATAGGGAGGGAAATTCATCAACTTTATTAAGTACCTATCAAAAATAAATCTTATATCAATGTAATATATTAAAAATCATAATCCTAAGTCTAATAATAAATCTGTTAAAAACACTTTCTCACTACACTGCGCTCACACACGTTAGTAAGACAAAGGAAAATGCACACCCAGCTAATTTTCAATTTCAAGATAATCATTTTGGATGTGTGGACCCTAGGGTAGACTTAATGTCAAAATTTATATTAGAGCATTCGAAATCTTTGTTTGTCCAATCAAGATCAGCATGGTTATGCTGGTTGACGAGCAGTGAACCAAGTGAACCAATTGACAATATAACTTTATATTATTTGCTTAAACTGTTTAGGATGCAACCTAATGTCATGATCTTTTGAACTTATTAGCAATTAGACTGTTAGCTCGCTTCTGAATAAGCATGTCATCTTCGTTCCAAAACTTTTTATGTCCTATGCATACACTCCTTGATAGTTATCTTGATCTAGTATCTTTGTTTCACACAATAGAGCATAAGTTTTGTGGTTTATCCACTGGGCTACCAAATTTTATTATTATTATTATTCATAATACCAACCCTTTATCTCTGCCAAAAATGTATATTTGGTTCAAATAAGAGCCTTTCCTCCAAAAAAACTCATCTGGACTAACGTTTCGGTATGTTCAAAAGCTTTCAAGCCCCCACATTCCTTGCTTACTGGTTGTCTGTCCGTTCACAATCTAATTACCAGTCAGGCTCAAAATGTCCTACACCAAATAATAATGGGTACTATGTTTTTATTGTTATAAATTTGTCGATGTGTTAAAAATTAAATTTCTTGTTTCATTGAAAAATTTCTTGTTCCATTGAAATGAGGGCCTGTCAAAAGATCCAGTAACTTGTTAAATTGGGGTACCCTTCCGTACATCTATGTGCATTGTAGTGCACTCCTGATCCTAATATTTAGGCCCGTGGCCAGTTTTCAAAAACTCCTAACCATATTATTATAAATATCATATTCTTGCATTTTCTTGTAGTTTTTATAAACGTTCCTCAGTTTTTAAGGGTTTTTTACTCAGATTTTAACTTTTATATAATATTGTACATTGTATTACTATCTATGTATTGTTTGAATACTTTCCAACTATTCTTGCATTAGTATTAACGACATATTTTCAAGCATACGTTTCAGTCCTTACCTATTATTGTTCTTGACCGAAACAGATCTAAAGATACGATTAGAAAAATCGGAAAAATAGACTTGAATTTGTTTATATAATTTATAAAGCGTATGTTATTGCCCACGTTAAGGGGCCTGTTAATAATTAATTAAATTATTAGCTATTTTAGATTTAATAATAATAATGATAATATTATTGTCCTGGAGGGGGATATTTAAAACATATATAAGTGATACGAAAGATTTTATTAGCAGGAGCTTTCAAAATACTTGTGTAAATCGTCTATTATTATTGTTCTTGAAGTAAATTTATGGGATGTTAAGAATAAACATTGCTGAGTATAAGTTGTATCTTAAATCATTATTAATATAGTACTTCATTATCAGGCGTAATTCGACCATCCAATAAAAATTCATTCACAACCTTATGGGCATTTCAAATCACTTTGTCATATCAATATAATCTTTCAGACTGAATGGACAATAGGCAAACCATTGAATAAGAAATGCGAAATGCCTCCTCCTCCTTTTGGCAAAATGTTAACAATTGCAACCCCTTATATAATTCTATAATGTTTCAGCATTTTTGCTTAGAATGGGATCTTTTTACACCTTCAAGTGTCAGTGGCCAAATTGTACACTGAAAGCTGAGGCTTTAGATGAGCTACTTAGTCATGTTGAAACTATCCACATACCCAAAGAACGACACCAATATGATGATCCTGAACGCAGGTTTGTACATCACCTTGAAGAGCATTTTCATATTGTATATTTTGTTATATTTTATACTGTGATTTGCATTGTGTAAATATTAAGAATCTGAATGTATAATTATTTTCCTTCAGTACCAGCACAAGAAGTCATTTTACCAAACAATTAACATAATTTCAGGCCCTCAGATCAGCTACCGCTGTCTTGTATCTACAACTATTCAACTGGGCCTGTACAGCTACGGTACAAGAGATCAAGATCACACGCGGACAAGTCTATCCGTGACAACTTTTCTGCCAGAGAAAGGGAATGTACTCAAGAGCAGCTCCAAGACAGGTCTTTACCCTGCAAGAGTATTTTGATGCTGTTATCTAGGTCTTTTCTATATCAATTAAATTTTAACTCAATGATCAGAATTAGTATTAACTAAAAGCCATCTCCTCAACTCAATTTCTGTAAGATTTTATAATTTTTACAGGTTCAATTTTGATGAGGACGATTTTGCTACCCATCAAACTCCTATCAACGAAGAACATTTGATGAAAATGGACATAGTGACACAAGATCAGCGTAGAATTAAGACTGGGATATTAAAAGCTAATGCTAGAGCACAAGAAAGTCATAAATGTCATTGCGGGAAGTCGTATAGAAGCAGCAATGCTTTAAGAAATCACATGATGACATATCATGCAGCTAGAGGCAGTCAGATAGCCACTGACGATTCATGAATTTATTATTGGTTCTGAACAATTTATTATTGGTTCTAAACATTTTTTTAAACGATTGTGGATTGGTGTAACGGGTTGAAATGACAAGTGTACTTGCCGTGATTTATAATCGGTTATCTTTAAATCCTTGTTGTCGGAACCTATCTACAGTAACAACTATTAGTTTGGTCTACTGAGAAATCTTATAGTAGATTCATGAGCAAACAAACAACTATGATGACGAAGTATCTCGCTGTCCTGTCTGTCAAAGAATTTATTGTCGATCTTTAAATCCTGGCCTTTAAGTCCCTTTCTATACACGGTTTGGCAAAAATCCTGGGATATTTATTATACTGCAGTAAGGGGCTGTAAGGAAATAATAAACTATATAGCTGTATATTATATGTATATATGTATTTTTTATTTGAATAGTTTTGCAATTGAAGTATTCCATCAACATTTCAGATTATTTGTATTTAAATGATCTATCTAAGATCGTCCTTAAAATGTCTTGGAAATGTGTTATTCCTCTATCTAAATTTAATCTATGATTGCCATGTAACTCTCGTCTTATTTATTATCTATGGTGTTAGGTGGGATGGTGAATAGCCAGGAACTGTTCAAAAGACGAGGTGATGGTGGACCAGATGAGTTGTTTTGGGAGGAGTCTGACAACATCTACTCCGACGTTAAGAACGAATTGTTGGAACACCATAAATCGGTATAATTTGTTGGAATCTTAATATTTTGACTTTCTAACAGAGCTGCTAACTTTTAGCTATTTTTCAAATGAGTGACTTTTTGTTTAAGATAACTTGGTTAGTCTCCTTGTTCAGCCTTCATATCCCTTTACAGCTGTTTAGAAAATAATTGGTCGATATAAATATTGGTGCAGCGATGAGCTCAGTAATAACTTATGAATCGAACGTTTTTCAACTAAATGATAATATCAGACACGAATGTACCTTACCAATTATTGTATTTACAGTACGTCGAAGGAGAGCAGCTGAACTCCAAAACCCTGTCAAATCTGATCAACCAGATCTCACAATTTCAAGAGGACAACCTTGGTTTTGGTAACAAGTCTGAAGCGACTAGAATTCCTGTGAGCATCTAACTAAATCGCAAATTCTCGAAACATCTCCAGTTTCGGAATCGGATTTTAAAGACGAATTAACATATCAAGTGTATCTGGTGATGGTAATGAGGTTGTTTACTTTAGTAAAGTTTCTCCGTATTCTGTAAGATGGGCTGACATTTGTAATATTTCAGAGCAGAGCGTTTTACCAACCAAAGACTCTGGCGATTATTCTAGGAACTATATACAAGTTCCGATCTGAAAACAACTGGTATGTTAAGATTTTTATTTTCAGATTATCTATATGAAAGATTTTTTGGCACCATTTGTATTTATTGGAACGCTGTCCTTTTCGTCGATGTAACAACTTATCAATTTAATTAGAATTAGAATTAGAATCAAATTTACACAGCAAATTAGACTACGATATTATTTAATAATTTAAAGATGCTTCTGCAGCTGTTAGGTGTTAAGGATATTATATCAGTCCTATGTACTGTTAAAAATTACCCTAGGCTATTAAGCCTCAATTAGATCGTGAAATGAAACTTACACCAATATATCTCAACAGGAGAAAGGTTGACTTCAATACATCTGGCCGAATGGTAAAGCACCTCGAGATACTATCTGCCATATGGAACGCCTTCTTTGAGATGGGTTCTCAGACTAGGAAGAAGATTCTGTTGTCCGAGGAGTTGGATGAGGCAACCCGGGAGAAGATGAAAGCAATCATTGAGAAGCGAGGTGGTGAGATCGTTACTAAAGAGGACGAAGCTAGTCATATTGTGTATGGAGCTCCTCCTAAATCTGCTATCTCTGATGGTAAGTGTTTTTATAAGTCCTGAGGCCTATTGTATTGGGACTGTTACAATGAACATTTTTTCAGTCACATATTTTTGGAGATAATTTTGCTAACCTCCATTTCTTTCCTCAGAAATATCATCTAACTGCTGTCCCTGCTGCTCCTTACCAATGGAGACTAAAGGTTGGAACAACGCCAACAAAGGCAACCACATCAACTCCTGCCGGGGAAAGAAGTTCGACAGTGGTGATCTGGTCCGCCTGATCACTGGAGACAGTGGGATGATCCTGATACACACGTGTGGTAAACCCCCTTCCTGGGATACGTGGGTACATGAGGAGTACCTGGTCAGTGACTGGCAACACGAGAACTACAGGGAGGTATGTACGGCATCTCGCGGTATGTACGGCATGTATGTACGGCATCTCGCCAGGCATGTCGCCAGTCACGTGGCCATGTTTCTCCATTTGAAATCATGCCACGCCCGGCAGTTTCATTTGAACCTGTCTGGTAACTTATTGGGTTACTTATTTATAGACCCTCTTAATGTAGGTGTTATCATAACTTTATAATCTCAGGAAGGGGAGCCGTTGCACGTGCATGCAGGCTGGGTACTGGATACAGAACAGTTCAATGAGTGGATGGATGAGGAAGACTACTGTATCCCACACATCAAGAATGATGGAACTCCCAAGAACCCCTGCCGGAAGTGGTTGCTGAAGGATGTGTCTCTCTCTAATATCCCTGGAGAAGTTGCCGCTGCTGCCGCTGCTACTCCCGTTGCTGAAGATGTATAGTTTACTTTTTACTCACTTTCTTTCTAATTTTCTTGCGTTATTTAATAGATGCACTTCTGTACCTACAAAATAGAAGCTATAGAGTTAATTTAACTAAATGTTTATTGTTTTTACAGAAAAGTAAGCGTAAGAGAACCCCATCGCCAGTGAACAACAAAAAGAAAGTAAAGTCCAAGTCCAAGTCTAAAAAGGAGTCGATAGACCCAACTAAAGACTTCCCAGATCCGGTACCCGACGTTGGTACAGTGGAGAAAGTAGAAAGTCCGGGTGGACCGGGGCCAGTTAAAGGTGGCAGTTACACTGAGATAGGAAAAGGTGGGTGTTCGTGCACGTGTCTGTGCACGTGTTAGTGCACGTGTCTGTGCACGTGTTAGCTTAACTTGTGAGAGCAGCTGTCCTGCTCAAGGTTCATGTTTCACAGCCTGGTCCTGCAACACTGCACTCTATTCGCACTTGCTTGCTAAACTATCTAGATTGTCTGTCCACAAGTTACTGTTAAACACTGTTAAACCTGTTCTCCCTTGCTACTTGTAGTTTGTTCCCATAGCATTATAAAAAGTAATATTTAGCAGTCTACAGTATTACTTGAATCATTTGCATAACCTTAACATTTTGTTGCTGCATCTGAATCAAATTTGCTTACAGGTTCCTCTGCAATAAGTGTATTACCAAAATTTGCAGGTAAAGCTATCGTTCGCTGTTGTGACTAACCTTACACTTTTCATCAAAAAAAGTTCAAGACACTTTTCTTTTAAAGTTTGCAAATCGCATTTATTACCTTCGCGTTCCCGGTATTCATTTTGCTTAAAAAAAAACGTTTAACAGTTTAAATTTAAAAACAATTACAATTTTCTTCCTGCTACTACAGCCCTTTTGCAGCTCACTTCGCCTGCCGTATTATATCGCTAACTGCTTAAAATGGACAGTTCTTAATTTGTAACCCTGCACCATTTTCTGCTATAATTTAATCATTACGAACTTTTCAACACTTGCTATATTATTAAAAGCAATGCAACATTACGCAACGTCCAGTTGAACAGTATATCATGTTGAACTACTCTTGCAGTAGTTCGAGTCTTTGTTCACCCAAAGGATTGTATTTCCAATTGCGTTTTTATTCATTCCCCCAAACTTTCTATAATTGTGGAATATATTCGCAATTGCTATAAATGGAATAATCGTCCCAGCTAGCCACTTAAACCTGCCCACTTTGTTCAAGTATTGTATTTCGCCTGGTAGGAGCAGAGTCTTGTAATGTATTTATATTAGTTGTACCTTGCTCTAGTTCAGGGCGCTATACTACTATACTATTCGTGGTATTTGTTACATTTTTTCTTCTGGGAAGCGGAATGTCGTGCTGGTTGGACGCGTAAATTTGTAACAGTACTTGGTGACACGGTCTTTATTAAAAACGATCGTTAAGTTACAAATATTTCTTAATGAGTGGTATTAGTTAAGAGCATTGGTTGAATCTAGTAATTAAGCGTCAAAGTCATTAAAGGGCTTTAATTTGATACTTTAATCACCTTTACATCTTCTAAAGTAATGTAAAGGTATTAATTATATGTATTGTCTATAATACGCACAAGGTGGTCTTTATTAAATGATGAAATAATGTAATATTATAATCTGCCTACTCACCACCCACAACTTGAAACACTATCTGAGCAAACTTTATGTTTTGATTTCCATCAAATGCATTTCCTGAAGCTTTTCACCGAACTTATCAAACAGCACTAGAACAAGCTTTTTACTGTACAATATTAATATATATATATCAATTTATTACCGGATTAACATTTAGTTGGTTTAATAAATTGTGTGCTTCGATATTTATAATATTATACTACGGCACAATCTACAGTAAATTAATTTAAAATTCACATGATCGTGTTTTGCCCAGTGATGCCAGTGGACGACATGTCAGACGAAAAGGTGGATGTTTTAGTGAAGGAACGCGACGGGGACATCAGTAAGAACGAAGTGATGCGCCGGGTACCACTCCACAACCAAGTTCAGGACCAGTCCCATCACATTATTATACCCAGCTACAGTGCTTGGTTCGACTATAATGCTATACATTCCATTGAGAAGAGATCGCTACCGGAGTTCTTTAACGAGAAGAACAAATCTAAAACTCCTGAAGTGTTAGTTTTTAGAATGATATTTACTACGTCAATATTATAAAATAAAATCTTTATTTTCTCGTGATTGAATGTGAAACGAATATTAAATAATTATTAGGTTTAATAATGTTCATCACATCATTCTAAAGTCGTTGTTCACAGGTACATGGGATATCGTAACTTCATGTTGGACACGTACCGTTTGAACCCGACTGAATACCTGACGGTAACAGCTGCTCGGAGAAACCTAGCTGGTGATGTCTGTGCCATTATCAGGTCTCATAAAGTTCAGCTCTTAAAACAATACAATATGCCCAAATCGCTTCTTTCATTATTTAAACATTTTGTAAGTGCCTCAGTGGTTAAAATAATGTAAAAAATGTCAAACTTGGGTTCAAGCTTCCCGTATTTTTTGCACGGCTTGCTACATCTCGTGTAGTAAAATATCCGTTTATTAAGAATATTTAATCACCTTTAGAGTACACGCGTTTTTGGAGCAGTGGGGACTTATAAATTACCAAGTAGACCTAGAAGGACGACCCTCAGCTATGGGTCCACCCTCTACCTCTCATTTCCATGTCATGGCTGATGCACCCTCCGGTCTTCAACCTGTCTCTGTGCCTAAAGGACCTGTAAGCAATCTTTTTATTTATTATTGCCCTCAGAAGGGCACTTCATTAACAGTTTTTGACTGATTTGAATATCCTGCACAGCAAAATGAAGCTTCTTTAAATTATGTTTAGAATTGCGTTCGGTTTCCATTGGTATTCATATAACCTTATTTAAATTAATTTGATTTGCTTACTTACTTATTAATAAAACCTTATTTAAATTAATTTGATTTGCTTACTTACTTATTAATATAACCTTATTTAAATTAATTTGATTTGCTTACTTACTTATTCATATAACCTTATTTAAATTAATTTAATTTGCTTACTTACTTATTCATATAACCTTATTTAAATTAATTATAGAAGAAGAATATTCTCCAGCCTACATCCACTGCCACGACCGTCACAACCGCTTCACAAGTGGTCAGCGACGTGGACAAAAAACCAGTGGTGATAAAAAGTGAGGCTGACAGTGCCACCCCCAGCCTGTCAACACCGGGACTCAAGATGGATCAGTACGCTAAGAAAGATCCTCACAAGCCCTGGACTGATCAGGAGACTTTACTCCTTCTTGAGGTGCGTAGGTATCTAGCAGTGCAGAATTACTCCTAAAAGAAGGGTTTTACAAAATGCAATTCAATTTATTTATTTGAGCTGTCAGGTTTTGTTGTTGTAACTTGTTGGCGAGCCCAGAGATCTGTCTCCAGATAATTAATAATGTGAACTTTGTCAGGCGTTGGATATGTACAGGGACGACTGGAACAATGTAGCAGAGCACGTAGGGACACGAACACAGGATGAGTGTATCATGCACTTCCTAAAACTGCCCATAGAGGACCCCTTCTTGGAGCCACAAACTGGTAAAATACTGGACAATAGTTCTCCTCCTGCTTCTATTGACGCTGGTAAGTTAATTATCCGGAGAATTCAGTATTAAGAGGGTAATAACTGTTTTAATCCTCCTTATTGATATAATGATATGGTTAATATTGATAATTCATTAAATGTTCACATGCCTTATCATCTTACTCCATTACAAGGTTTTAAAATATTTGAGTCTTCACCTGATGGCTACATTTCTGTTGACAGAGTTCATTTTTGCAGCTACAGGACCGCTCAACTACCAGCCTATCCCCTTCTCCCAAACTGGCAACCCCGTAATGTCCACTGTAGCATTCCTTGCCTCTGTTGTGGACCCTCGTGTAGCTGCCTCCGCTGCTAAAGCCGCTCTTCAAGAGTTCAGTAAGATGAAGAATGAGATTCCTCCAGAGCTCATTAACAGTCATGTTAACCAGAAGGAGAAGGAAGAGGTAGAGAAAGAAAAAACTGAGAAAGGTATAGCTGGTTACAGTTGTCATGAGCTTTCAGTTGCAATTAATAAGTTGGATGTATATAATTTATTTGCCAATGTTTTGTTTTTGGACAGACTTATTTTCGGCCGTGATACTTTAAGGGCTAAGGCTTGTAGTTGTACGGTTATTTTAATACGTATTTCTGTCGAGGAGAAGCTGACGGTATAAAGAAAGAGGACGAGCCAATGGAAACAGACGAGAACACAGACGTGAACAAGCAGGCAGACACGACCAGTACACCTAACGTCACCTCAACCACATCTGACAACCACCTCCCCAAATCATCCGGTCAAGTCCGCCCACCCACCGATGGCAACATCCAAACTGCTGCAGCTGTGGCATTCGCAGCGGCTGCTGTCAAGGCTAAACATCTGGCTGCGGTAGAGGAGAGGAAGATTAAATCTCTTGTAGCTCTGCTTGGTATGTGACATTTAATTTATCAGAGTTTAAGCCTGAGATTTAGGAGTTGAATTATAGCAGAGTTAGGTGGGCTGACAGTGTTGTTTTGTGAGTTGTCGATATTGTAAAAGTGTTAACCTTAGCTCGGCTCAGTATCAAATATATATGCCATCTCGGAATTTCATTTGATCATATTTTACAGTTGAAACACAAATGAAGAAGTTGGAAATTAAACTCCGACATTTTGAGGAATTAGAGGCTACGATGGATGCTGAAAGACAAGCTGTAAGTATACAGCTCTGAAATTTGTATACAATGATATTTTTAATTTCAATTTATATTAATATTGGTTGATTTGACAGTTTATGAAGATTTAAACTTGTCTTAAAACCTAAATAAGGAATAGTTAAGATAAGATACCAGTTTAAGTCACATCGTTATGATTAATCTCCTCAGTCGTATCATTATATTTTACCACTACTTCCCCAATACAGCTAGAGCTTCAGCGACAGCAGCTGATCAACGAACGACAACAATTCTACAAAGAGCTAATAAAAGTAAAACACGGTGGAGTGATCAACTTCCCGCCACCCCCAACCGCGGAGATGATACCAGGAAGTGCGACCGGAGCTCACCCTCCAGCTACAGGCCCCACACCTCCTCAACACGGCCCTGTACCCACCTCTGGGCCGCCTCCTCATCCTGGTGCTCCTCCTACTGGGCCCCCTACCTACCCTCCTCAGCACCCTTATCAGCCTAATACACAGGTATTAACGGTAAATATATCCTTATTACTTATTTCAAAACTTTAAACTTTATCTTTCTGAGATTTTGTGGCTGATATTTAAGATCTGTTGGCGTGTTCATAGGTATTGTTAGAATAGTGGTTCATGTTAGTATACATACTTACTACACTTTTATGTAATATTTATACAAATGAAAACCCTGCGTAAACACGGGAATAAACTAAAATAACGCTATGCTATTTTCAGAGTGGTCCAGGAATGCCACAACACCCTCCTCCTCACCATGGTCCACCAGGACCACCTGGACCCCCATCCTCCCACCCTCCCCCCTCTCATCCTCCACCCTCTCACCCTACTTCTCACCCTCCTCAATCTCATCCTCCTCAATCTCATCCTCCCCCTCAGGGACCTCCAGCTCCTCACATGGGTCATCCTAGTGGGCCTCGTCCTGCCCCTCCTCCTTTTTACAATCAGGGACAAATGCATCCTTCTTCTATGGGACCAGCAGCAGGTGAGCAAGGCCATTGTGTCACAGTCTGAAAATCCGCGAAGGAGTTAAACTTTTTGTATCAAACTGTACCAAGGTACAATATTTGGTACCAAGGCATACATCTCAAGATCTGAATATACGATTTTCTTCAAACTTTTTGTTGGAGAGTTGAGGCTGTGAGACCTGTATCTTGTTGTAAATATCTATTTGAGGGTAGAATAATCGTGTAATTCGTATGGATCAATTTTAATAGAATAATACTGGTGAAAGGGTCTTTGTAGAATTCATTCATAACAAATGTCAAATCGCCAATCGGTCAAATTAGTGCAGTGTCATGTGTTTCGGTATTTGTGTTAGAAATTCGCCCAAACTTGCACAGATTATCCGTCTTATAACTACATCTGGAATAAAATCGTATGTTCAGATCTGGAGAAAATCGATAATTATTCTAAGTTATTTACTAAAACACTTGATGTTTGACCTCTCAATTTGGTACAGTTTCGACGAAAGTCCTTCTGTCGCGCAGTTTCTTTGTTTGATTTATGTAACGCGCCTTGCAATTTTCCTATACAGATATCTCTCAACCTTTAGGTTTCGCGCGGCTTTCCCCCCTAATTTTGACCATATAAGGAAGCGTGTAATTTCCACTTTAGGTTCCAAATAACCGCTCAAAAGTGTAATCTGACATCTGATAATCTTTCAGTCAGACCTGGAATGCCGCCATATTCCGGACAGGAGATGATGCGACCCCCTTATAACATGAGCGGGCCTCCACCACCGCAAGAACAACAGGTTCCTGCCGACCCCGTCAAAAGCGAAGGATAGATCAACAGAGTGTGATGAGCTTGAGTTGATATATTTACACGTTTTTATTTCAATATTAGGTTGCCCAATAATATATTTTATTTATCAAAAGTAACCCTCAAGATCACCGAACTGTATCGATCGTTAACTTTTCTATCGATAATCGATTTTTGGACAACCTACATTTTAACACACGGATATTTGTAGCTATTTATCGTTAGATTTATGATAGATTATCGTCTTTTTATTATCGATAAGCTTGGTTTGATACTGGATACAAGTTCCACCATCAGTTTTCCAGTAAGATTAATGAATTAATCTTTGACGTACTATGAGCAATGTCTTGTTTTGACTCTATGCGAACGAGGTTACGAAGTATTCGCGCCTTGAAGTTGTTTTGCAATACGTTTTTTTTTTGATAACTAGGGGGACTAGGAGTCTATATGAATATACGTTATGATCTGATGAATGCAGGTCATTCTTACTTATTTACTCAATAATATGTAAGTTCATATGTGAGGGATCTTGAATTTGTTGTGGAGACAAATTGAGAGGTATTATTTGACACTTTGAAGGTAGTCAAAGAAACATAAGAAGTAGACTGGGTTGCAAATCTGAACGGTAAATTGTTCATACAATATATTTGTAATTCTATTATTTCATAACATATACATTGCTTAATATTGCGTGTATTAATTTGTTTAAATGAACTCGCTATGATCAATAAAATTGATATTTTTAGTGAAACATGAGTACCATATTATGCTGGGAAGAATTAAGTTTTTAAGGAATGGTAAATGGTTGACAGAAATTTTGTTCGTATTAAATAAATGAGATAGATACACAAGTAAGTATATCCAGTGAATAGTACACCGTCAGTGTACACTGTACGTAGTGTAATGGAAACTAAAATGTGATACACAGTTAATTCTTTTTACAACGTGGTCTTTGATTATAAACGAGTGTCTGAATTTGCGGTTGCAATTATTCTCACTTGCTGGTTGACGTTGTTTGGAGGCCTCCTATTTTCTCTGTTCAGTCTCAATATCCCTCTGATGAATTCTCTCAGCACAGGCATTCTCCAAAAGTATAGGATTGGGTTTGCTGCCGAGTTCACTGCGATGAGTACAGTTAATATGGCGTTCTGGTAGTACAACTGTGTATCAAACTGGTACAAATTATAGAACCACTCCATCCTATCAGTGTGTATGGCGTATCTTAGAAAGATATATGTAAAGACAAGGGGAACATTGCACACTCCATACAAAAGAGCAAACAGTAAAATCGTTACTGTCGCCCTGTTTCTGGATTTTTGCAGCTCCTGTCCCTGTGCTAAATTATTTCTTCTTGTTAGCAACACAGCTGATATGATACAGCTTGTTGCAACTACGAACACTGGAGCTATGTACAATAAGCTACTTATGATCTCCAGGATAAGTATCACAGTCCCATCTGAATTGCCATCAAATGTACAGCGTGACAACCAAGGGGAGAATTTAATCTCCCCGTCTTGAATATGGGTTCCAATTGTCAAAGCCAATATTAGAAACAAGTACGATACTATAGCTATGAGCAGATTCCTTATATTCTGTTGTTGGAATGGTCTCATCAGTGACACTGTCCTAGTTATAGACAAGCATAGCACTAAGAAAATACTATATAAAACTGCTATTGTCCATAAGTAATACCAGGCTTTACAGCTCAGGATCGTACCGAATACGATACCTGGACTTCTTTCTGACAAAAACGAAATCCCGACGGGGACTACTATCACACTGACGACTATATCATTTGCCGTTATCGCCATATAGATGACGCTGGATATGTCTCTTTTCTTAGCCTTAAAATAAAGCAAGCTCACAATATTTCCCATCGTCCCGAGAAGGAAGCACAGACAACAAATAGTCCCGTAGGTCATATCAGCTGCGTGGTTGAAGTTGTCCACATTATATGTCTTTGGTGGTTTCCAGGCAGCTGTTTCCATCCTGTATAAGGTACAAAATTAACGTACACTTAAAAGTTGGGGGAAATCTCTACGATTTGTGTGGTTATTTTCCGCGAACCGATTATCATAGAGGGCTATAAAACTGAGTAAAACACAATATCGAAAATGAGGTTCTATTGATCCTTATCGAAAGAACGGCAGTATCCAAATAGCCCGACACGTCTTCGCGAACAGTTGTACACGAACAGGTGTTCCCGAACAACTTATGACATGTTGGTTACCAGATCATATGACTGCATAATAACAGTACACAGACACCTTACTTAAATCGTTGTCACAAACTAACTTACTGCTCCTTTGCAAAGTCTTTAAACAATGTCTCGACACAGGCACTTACCCAATACTCTGCCCATGGAACAATAGCATAATTACTCCTCTGCACAATTACCGAATGAACAAATTTGATTTATCGATTATAAAGTTTGCTCTCCCGATCTACAGAAATTTTATGAGGGTAATTCACATATTATACAATTAATTGAGATGGGGCCGGGGGAGGGTTTCAACAGTTTGCGACAAAGAAAGGGAGGCGTAATAAAAATTTAAATCCACTTCTATTTTTGCAATCGATATTCATGATATGTGCTGTTATTAACACGTCACGTCTTGCAGAAGCCCTTGCCAGTAGTAGTTCTCGACCACGCGGGCCTCGAGCAGAATATGTACGGAAATATTCATAGATTTCATAGATTTTCATATTTTCTGAAATTCATAGATTTCATTTTAAAATTTACCTGGACACACTGCATTTCTAATTCTATGAACTGAACTATGAGAAATTGTTGAATTCAGTCAGGTGAGCTCCAAAAGCCCCCGATCACTATCAGAGGTACGTATCGAAAATTACTCTGACTGAAGTAATTTTTCCCAAGTTTTCCTGCAGGAAACCACTTTTCTCCACGTTTTATGATACCCTGATCATAATATGAGCCGAAAACATTTTCTTGGTTTTTGAAGTCCTCACCTACCCCTCCAAATACTAATTGAAAACGAGGCTTCCGTTTTGCGAGGTGATCATCAACTTGCTCACGTAATATGTGAACGCTCCCTTATTATGACCTCAGTTTTATCATGCTAACATATAGAAAACCGCGTTCTCTTAGTGTTTAGTGTATGCTAGTCAAGCTCTAGTCACGAAGCACGAAACGGCAGGGCGTACCGTAAGATAGAAATGAAACGAGTATATTAAAAGGGATAATTAAATAAAAGGAAAAGTAATACAAAGTGAACGTCAACAGATAAAAACCTCCAAGTGTTCGCTCCAATCAATTGACGTGACTAATCACAAATGGTAGTGCTCAGTAAGACTGGCTACCGTCAATTTGAATCCCTTAAAATGATTAAGGGGCAACCAAGAAGTGAGCTCTCCACATCCGGCTCTCCGGGTATACTCTCAAAACTTCGTCACGCCACACTGCGTGACGGCACAACGCATCTGCTTGTACCACGTGACACGCCGTCTCGCCAATGAGCACTCCACTAGCAGTCACGCTGTGGTCGCGAGGACCAACCACAGGCCTGGCTGTAAGTCAGGTGCAAAGTGAGCGGACGGCTCGTTTCACTTTCAGACAGTTAGTCTGACAGTAGTTCTGCCAGCCAACCGACTTACACTCAAAATGTGTAACTCCCAAATACGAACATATAAAAACATTGGTTATTATATACCCGGAAACACATACTAAATTCTACGTCCCGTAAACGTTATACTAAAACTAAGATATCCTAAAAGATATCTCTAAATACCATATTACAACATCTCTACCCAAAAATTTTTTTCGAATATTTTAAAACAATAAAATAATCGCCCTTTTCAAAATTTAAATTTCAATGCTCCCACGCATCAAAAGTCCAAAACTTAAAAATAAATCAAGTCTCAAAATAAAATACACGGCCCTAACCCTGTGCATTAAATTTAAATCCTCAAAATCCTAAAGTTAAAACTGAAATTGACTTCCACAAATCTTTCAAAACTTTCCAAAACCTTCAAATACTTCCCTTTTGCACCAAGTTGTAGAGTCTTTGGTGTTGAGTCTTCATCATTAGATAGAGATGTATCGGAATCTCTAAAACGTCCTTGACAAGCAAACAAAGAAGTCAAAATAAATTCGAAAGTTTCTACGTTTCCGCCACTAAAGCAGCCCTGAGCGAGTCGTGTTGCGAGTAAAGATCCTAATATCCCTATCAGTACTGTTCTGAAAGATAACACGTGTTATACCTAAGTAAGGTACGGTTCCACTGCTAAATACTAAGTGGAAAGTCTAGCTAAGTGAGTAAGACTATACTGTTCTGAAACTAGATTCCAAAAGTAAGTGTACTTCCCTATCCGGGCATCTCCTCGTCTTCTACTGGTTGAAGAGTTTTATAAGATCCGTAACTAGTCTAACGTTGTATCCTAGACGATCAGGTTGTCTCCGTTCCTCAGGTCTCCTAGTGTTATATCTGCGCTCCTCCCTCGGAGGGCTCTGTCTTCTTAGATCCACAGGAGAAAGCGATCCTGTTGTGTCAATGTCGTGCCCCACTGTATCATATGACATAGAACTGCTATGACCCACCGTTCCTTCACCAACAACCGGACTCGATGATCTTCTAGCGGCCGATCTCTCTCTAGCTGGAGTGAAGAATTCTGCAGAATTATCAACTGTTTCTACACTATCGCCTGAGGGAATGTTATGTGTGAGAGGTGTTACCGTACGAAAACTAGGATTTATAGAATTCAGATCTAGTTGAGCAGGTCTATTAACAGCCCTAGGAGTTGAACTAAAACTAGGTTGCTTGTAAATGCTAGCTGCACCATCCTTCTCCAGACGAAACTTCTTCGGATGAACCTCTCTTCTCCTCACAACTGGTGCTCTTCTCAGTTGAAAATCTGTCTCCTCTTCACTATTACTATCGGAATAATCTACAAATCGCTCCGATGAGTCCGTCTTTAACTCAGCTCCACTGCTCTTAGCCTTATTGTAAATGTATGCCTGAGGTGGCTTACTTGCTGTACACAAGACCCCTCTCTCTAGAGAGCTTACATCTCTAGTAACCGCTGAAACATTTTCCACCGCATCAACTGCTCCCGCAACTACTGATGCCTTCTCTGTAGTATCAGCCTGAGTAAGACTACAATTGCAATGGTGGCTATCAACTTCAGGCGTAATCTGAACAACGTTTACTGTGCTATGGTCATCACTAAACTTCTCATCAAACAAGAACCCCGGAATCATACTATCCTCAACACTCAACTCATTGCAAGATTCCTCGATCATATTACTGCAATCATCCTTAACCACTGTCTCGCTGCTAACCGGTACCTGCAGCCTCTTAAACAGTATCGGGTGTTTACATCTATAATGTTCACGTGTCACCCGGTTTACTCCCTCTAAGGCAGCTTCAAGACTAAAAGTGCAACTGCTACTAATGCTCGCTACATTTTCTCGAGATTTACCATAACCCTGGTATTTATAGCGGTTAAATCCACCACACTTCTGGTTTCTCTTCCCCGAGATATGCTTCGTGGTAAAAGTACAGTTAGCAAGCTCCTGAAGCTTCCTGATGACAGAAGACGACACTTTCGAAAATCTCATTACAATCTCATAAATACGTGTGTTTTTGACCGCGGGTGACCTCCTCTTAAATCTAGGGCCACCCTTTAGAAGTTTAAAGGCACCTGACTGTTAGGTCTATACACTCTGTTCCAACTCTGTTGGCCATAACCACTCTGATATGAAGACCCTCTGTCTTGATATCTACCTCTATTACCAGCTAATCTGCTCGGACAGTTCCTCTGAAAATGTCCAATATCACCACACTCCCAACAACCTTCCAACTGATGGCGAACGTTACGATCATCATTTCTCATGGTAGCTTAATCTCACAAATACGAGCTATCTATCTAGATTTAACTGTACTGCGAAGCTTACAAACGGCTGTAAAACTGGGTGCTCGTTAAAACGATAGCACTGAACTGGAATATACAGGTACCACAAAATGCGTAGCAACACTTACCGATTCTAGTAGGAAGTACTCAAGATCTAGAACAACCTCCAACGTAATTCTTCTGAACTGCGACGTACACCGAACTTAGCTTAGCAAATGAGAAACGTTAGGATCTTAAACGAAACTATACTGAATATAGGTGACACTAGAAGGATCACGAGCAAAAATAGCAACACTAAAAGTGGCCTCCAGATATAGAAAACCGCGTTCTCTTAGTGTTTAGTGTATGCTAGTCAAGCTCTAGTCACGAAGCACGAAACGGCAGGGCGTACCGTAAGATAGAAATGAAACGAGTATATTAAAAGGGATAATTAAATAAAAGGAAAAGTAATACAAAGTGAACGTCAACAGATAAAAACCTCCAAGTGTTCGCTCCAATCAATTGACGTGACTAATCACAAATGGTAGTGCTCAGTAAGACTGGCTACCGTCAATTTGAATCCCTTAAAATGATTAAGGGGCAACCAAGAAGTGAGCTCTCCACATCCGGCTCTCCGGGTATACTCTCAAAACTTCGTCACGCCACACTGCGTGACGGCACAACGCATCTGCTTGTACCACGTGACACGCCGTCTCGCCAATGAGCACTCCACTAGCAGTCACGCTGTGGTCGCGAGGACCAACCACAGGCCTGGCTGTAAGTCAGGTGCAAAGTGAGCGGACGGCTCGTTTCACTTTCAGACAGTTAGTCTGACAGTAGTTCTGCCAGCCAACCGACTTACACTCAAAATGTGTAACTCCCAAATACGAACATATAAAAACATTGGTTATTATATACCCGGAAACACATACTAAATTCTACGTCCCGTAAACGTTATACTAAAACTAAGATATCCTAAAAGATATCTCTAAATACCATATTACAACAAACAGCTAACTACAAATTGTCTAATTAGCGGGCAACTGGGCAACTATCGGATCCTAATTGCCCAGTCAGTGACGAGCTATGATCTAATTATTAGATCTCATTAGTACCGGATCTCATTAATGCCGACCTTATTAATGACGAGCTAAGAAGCTTGTTATCTAACATCATTACGGACTATATAAACCGACCATTAGTGTAGGAAACCATTACTTCTGTTTACTCATAGTTCATCATACCAACCTTCTATATAGTGAGACGAGGCACTGAACAACTGTAAAACGATGCTTACCTGGATGAGTTGCTTTAACCGCCACGACGGTACTAGGACCACCCGGTTCTCCCCCTCCTGGTGGTCCTGGTTCTCCCCCTGCTGGTGGTCCTGGTTCTCCCCCTCCTGGTGGTCCTGGTTCTCCCCCTGCTGGTGGTCCTGGTTCTCCCCCTCCTGGTGGTCCTGGTTCTCCCCCTCCTGGTGGTCCTGGTTCTCCCCCTCCTGGTGGTCCTGGTTCTCCCCCTCCTGGTGGTCCTGGTTCTCCCCCTCCTGGTGGTCCTGGTTCTCCCCCTCCTGGTGGTCCTGGTTCTCCCCCTCCTGGTGGTCCTGGTTCTCCCCCTCCTGGTGGTCCTGGTTCTCCCCCTCCTGGTGATCCTGGTTCTCCCCCTCCTGGTGGTCCTGGTTCTCCCCCTCCTGGTGATCCTGGTTCTCCCCCTCCTGGTGGTCCTGGTTCTCCCCCTCCTGGTGATCCTGGTTCTCCCCCTCCTGGTGATCCTGGTTCTCCCCCTCCTGGTGGTCCTGGTTCTCCCCCTCCTGGTGATCCTGGTTCTCCCTCTCCTGGTGGTCCCGGTTCTCCCCCTCCTGGTGGTCCCGGTTCTCCCCCTCCTGGTGGTCCCGGTTCTCCCCCTCCTGGTGGTCCCGGTTCTCCCCCTCCTAGTGGTCCTGGTTCTCCCTCTCCTGGCGGTCCCGGTTCTCCCTCTCCTGGTGGTCCTGGTTCTCCCCCTCCTGGTGGTCCTGGTTCTCCCCCTCCTGGTGGTCCTGGTTCTCCCTCTCCTGGTGGTCCCGGTTCTCCCTCTCCTGGTGGTCCTGGTTCTCTCCCTCCTGGTGGTCCTGGTTCTCTCCCTCCTGGTGGTCCCGGTTCTCCCTCTCCTGGTGGTCCTGGTTCTCCCTCTCCTGGTGGTCCTGGTTCTCCCTCTCCTGGTGGTCCTGGTTCTCCCCCTCCTGGTGGTCCTGGTTCTCCCCCTCCTGGTGGTCCCGGTTCTCCCTCTCCTGGTGGTCCTGGTTCTCCCCCTCCTGGTGGTCCCGGTTCTCCCCCTCCTGGTGGTCCTGGTTCTCCCTCTCCTGGTGGTCCCGGTTCTCCCTCTCCTGGTGGTCCCGGTTCTCCCCCTCCTGGTGGTCCCGGTTCTCCCCCTCCTGGTGGTCCCGGTTCTCCCCCTCCTAGTGGTCCTGGTTCTCCCTCTCCTGGTGGTCCTGGTTCTCCCTCTCCTGGTGGTCCTGGTTCTCCCTCTCCTGGTGGTCCTGGTTCTCCCCCTCCTGGTGGTCCTGGTTCTCCCCCTCCTGGTGGTCCCGGTTCTCCCTCTCCTGGTGGTCCTGGTTCTCCCCCTCCTGGTGGTCCCGGTTCTCCCCCTCCTGGTGGTCCTGGTTCTCCCTCTCCTGGTGGTCCCGGTTCTCCCTCTCCTGGTGGTCCTGGTTCTCTCCCTCCTGGTGGTCCCGGTTCTCCCCCTCCTGGTGGTCCTGGTTCTCCCCCTGCTGGTGGTCCTGGTTCTCCCCCTCCTGGTGATCCTGGTTCTCCCTCTCCTGGTGGTCCCGGTTCTCCCCCTCTTGGTGGTCCTGGTTCTCCCCCTCCTGGCGGTCCCGGTTCTCCCCCTCCTGGTGGTCCTCCTGGTGGTCCTGGTTCTCCCTCTCCTGGTGGTCTTCTCCCCCTCCTAGTGGTCCTGGTTCTCCCCCTCCTGGTGGTCCTGGTTCTCTCCCTCTCCTGGCGGTCCCGGTTCTCCCCCTCCTGGTGGTCCTGGTTCTCCCTCTCCTGGTGGTCCCGGTTCTCCCTCTCCTGGTGGTCCTGGTTCTCTCCCTCCTGGTGGTCCCGGTTCTCCCCCTCCTGGTGGTCCTGGTTCTCCCCCTGCTGGTGGTCCTGGTTCTCCCCCTGCTGGTGGTCCTGGTTCTCCCTCTCCTGGTGGTCTTCTCCCCCTCCTGGTGGTCCCGGTTCTCCCCCTCTTGGTGGTCCTGGTTCTCCCCCTCCTGGTGGTCCCGGTTCTCCCCCTCCTGGTGGTCCTCCTGGTGGTCCTGGTTCTCCCCCTCCTGGTGGTCTTCTCCCCCTCCTGGTGGTCCTGGTTCTCCCCCTCCTGGTGGTCCCGGTTCTCCCCCTCCTGGTGGTCCCGGTTCTCCCCCTCCTGGTGGTCCTGGTTCTCCCTCTCCTGGTGGTCCTGGTTCTCCCCCTCCTGGTGGTCCCGGTTCTCCCCCTCCTGGTGGTCCCGGTTCTCCCCCTCCTGGTGGTCCTGGTTCTCCCCCTCCTGGTGGTCCTGGTTCTCCCCCTCCTGGTGGTCCCGGTTCTCCCTCTCCTGGTGGTCCTGGTTCTCCCCCTCCTGGTGGTCCCGGTTCTCCCTCTCCTGGTGGTCCTGGTTCTCCCCCTCCTGGTGGTCCCGGTTCTCCCCCTCCTGGTGGTCCTGGTTCTCCCCCTCCTGGCGGTCCCGGTTCTCTCCCTCCTGGTGGTCCTGGTTCTCCCTCTCCTGGTGGTCCTGGTTCTCCCCCTCCTGGTGGTCCCGGTTCTCCCTCTCCTGGTGGTCCTGGTTCTCCCCCTCCTGGTGGTCCCGGTTCTCCCCCTCCTGGTGGTCCTGGTTCTCCCCCTGCTGGTGGTCCTGGTTCTCCCCCTCCTGGTGGTCCTGGTTCTCCCCCTCCTGGTGGTCCCATTTTTATTTCAACATAATAACTATTTTCAATGAATCTTTATTTTTATATATTATTCATGTATCAAACGGTTTATTTTTTATTGATGTATCATTTCATTTTAAATGTATTTTATGTTTAGTGTTAATTGTGTACACAGCACTAGAGGTTTTCTCAACTATTGACTCATTTTCACAGAGACCTGATTGCCTTCAAGAAGATAGATAAGAAAGTAGCTACCTTGTGTACCAAAATCTTACAAAGACACACTTGGTATCACTCCATGGCTGCGAGCGGTGCTATGGCACGAGGAATTCTTAGCTGCTGAACACACTCAGTCTGATTCTGTTTCTTCTAGAGAACTCCAGGACCTTATGGCCGACGGAACATTGGAAAGGGATTTCCAGTACCTTGGATCAGTAGTACCAACCTTGATTGAGGCTATTGACTGGTTAGGTTATCCTTTCTATCTCAATACCTAGCCACTCTGCTGAGGTGGAACGTAGCTTTTCAGCTTACTCCAGAGTGATGACTAAGCTCAGGACAAACATGTCGGACTCTACTCTGAGAACATGTAATATGCTACACTTTAATTGTATTATATGAACAATCTGTAATCTGTTATCTGTATGAAGTTGTTGTTTATATGATAAATTGTTTAATAGTATAATATAGAATTTACGTAGTTGTTTATATGATAAATTGTTCAAAGATATACTGTAGAAGTTACGTAAACATGCAAATTGTAACACAATCAACAATATCTTTATATTTTAATCATAACTAAGATGAGTTGTTTTAGTGAGTTGACCGTGGCTTCTGGTTCTGGTTCTGGTTCTGGTTCTGGTTCTGGTTCTGGTTCTGGTTCTGGTTCTGGTTCTGGTTCTGGTTCTGGTTCTGGTTCTGGTTCTGGTTCTGGTTCTGGTTCTGGTTCTGGTTCTTTAGCTGCAAGCTAACCGGTTCAGAGGCAATTTTTCGGTGTCTTTTTCAAATCCTAGAGTGTTGTATGCGAAATGTGTTGTCGACAGTTACTCCAAGCTCTGTTGCCAGAGCTCTAACAGGTTTCGTGATATCGGCGGAGTAAGTGACGTGCAGCCGATGTATTTTCCTATGTTTCTCTAGACTGCTAAGTGCTAGGGCTTCTGTCCAGATGGTTGTGGGGCCCGTTGAAACTTAAAAGAAGACTTCTGTTCTTGTCTGTGGTAATGGTAGCAGGACAACTTCCATTCCTCGCGTGCTATAGGTTACATCTGTAACTAATGTTGTTTTTCAGCTCCGATCGTTGCTGAAATAGGTTGTCTTCGTGAACAATCATGGGCTTCCCCCGGGATGTGGTTAAAACTTCTAGAAGGTTCGTGCAGGGGACTGGGGAAAGGATGTCGTCAAGGTTGATATAAGCTTCAAGGGGTAGAGGTTCGATGCTAGATGGGGTTATTGGGGATAGACTAGGTAGGGATATGGGAATAGGATTGAGAAGTTCGTAGTATTCCATTGCTATCGTTGTGAATTGTAGATGGTCGAATGATGATGTCTCCTGTCGTCTGTTGAAAGTTATATAGTATCGATAACGAGATACGTCATACAGTACGTATGACATTGCAACATTTGAGATCATGTCAAAGTTATGGTAGCTCTTGTTGTTATGGACCCCCATCAGCCTGTATCAGATCATATGATGAGATCACATCCTCATGGGACATTAGCCGATCAAATAGAATAGTCAAAGAATATGTGAACTCTAACTAAGCACTGTAAATACATTATTTTTGGCCGCGAATTCGCCGCGATTTTTCGATTTTTTGCCGCGAATATGCCGCGATTTTCAAAATTCCCGCCGCGAATTAGCCGCTAATTAGCCTAGTTTGGCTTGTCGTGGCGCCGCGATTTTTGGCCAAAATAACCGCGAAATCCTTTTGTCCCTGTTGGTACTTTACCCAAGAAAACATCACCTTCGCCCTATTTGACGACAGCTTGCGTATTGCAACGAGGGAACAGCTAGCTACAGCTATTCTTAAGAAAACCTCTAGTGCTGGAGACATCGTCATCAAGAAGCCAGAGCTCCCACAAATAGACCAGTCACCCTTGCCGACTTTGTTGGACCAAGATCACGACTTCTAATCGACTTGGTTGGTGTCTCGACGGACTTTCTAAAGGAGGACAGGTGGCCTCTGACAGCCGACTATAATAAATTAAAATCGGCTTTAAACAATATATCGTCAAGAAATGATTCAGCAGAACGGGCAATCGCCCTGATGACTGATTACAATACTAGGATCACTAGAACTGAATCATCTTTTAAAGAACTTGTTCAAGTCGTTGAGGCCCATAGGTCTAAATTTTCGTTCACTTCTAAGAAAGGTTTAAGGAACTTCCATAGAAATAACAGTATTTAGTTTATTGTTGAATAATATAATTAGTTTGAATGTCTTGTGCAGATGCCTTAACATTTCTTTTAATACACTAACTTATCCAATTGTTTGTTATTCTCATTTATTTTGATATTTCCCATCAAACAGCTTTATATCAATTGTCTCAAAATCACTAATTTAACAACTTTGGATTAAAATTAAGTGTTTCTACCCCCACTAATATGCACTTCTCGTTCACACGAGTCTCCATGAGCAATGGTTGAGACCGCGCCTTAAAATGGAGGCGCAGAGACATGTTGATGCTAAGGTCGTAGAGACATGAGACCTTGACTAAAGTCAACCTTTTTATCACATTTATAGTACACTCCATAATCCATTGCTTTCAAGGCCCTATCTAGACATTTAAAGGTCAAACGGCAATTTTAAGAATTTTACCTGTATAACTATAAGCCATAAGGGCGTCGATAAATAAGGGCAAAGGGCGTGGCCCGTGGAGGCACAATCCGATGGAGTTGAGCCACGAAATTTTTCAAGGCAGTTTTTTAGCCAGGCATCTACTAATAAGCTTTGGTAGGGACCGATTGGGAAGACAATGACATGGGAGCGCTCAGAAGTGTGAAACGAAAGATGAACAAGGAGAAGAGTTACAAGCCGTTTGCTGAGAAACAACAAGCATCAACTCCAACGTCTAGCAGACTAGACTTGTCAATTTCCTCACAAGAAGAGCTCACCTCTTCGGCAGAGTCCTACAAACCAGTCGTAAAAAAGAAGAAACGGACAGGCACAACACTGCAAATTGATGCTGATATCCTCACCAAAACGGGGTTAGCTGCCGACCGCTTAAACATGACTTCGTCCCAAGTAAACGGTTATTTGGCATCCTTGGTCAACAACAGTGGAGGTAATGTTGACGATATTGTACTTTATAAATCCTCGTGTATTCGTCACCGGGAAAAAGCCAGATCGCAGAAGAGCCAAGCCATCAAGGAGAGCTTTGAGTGCAAAGACATTTAACACTTATAAACATTTTTAAACATACAGATGTAATTTATAAACATCTATTTATAAATGCAGTTTTGGGATAGGAAATCCTTTACAAAATATTTCCTATCCTAAAACTACATTTCGCGTCGGAAATAGTTTCTCTAATTATCTACCGCAGTACTTGTTCAGCAAATCGATATTCTCGTACCAAATCGACCAACAATAAGCAAACCTGAAACCGTTGTGAACATGATATGAATAATACTTCTTTTTATACTTTTTATAATATTTCGAATTAAAATATTTTAAATCCAATTCTGTCGTGGAGGTATTTGGACCGATAACAGATAATATATAAACAGATAGACACTTTAGAAATAGAATTCTGATCATATAAACTAAAACAGCGGTACACGAGCTTCCCTTGTCCATTTGGTAGCCAAATGATCACATGCTAGCATCTCCACTTTTAAGTATGGGAAACCTTAGCGACGTTTACCTCGCTTGCTATTCTATTGCTCGCTCCTCTCACGTATTATTATAGTATGTTCAGGAAGCTTCAAAAGAGCGCCGCGCACAGGGATTGGCGAGCCAGGTAGTAGAGTAGTAGCGATGTATGATTGTAATTTCTTGCAGAATAACGAATCATGTGCTTGCAACATATTTCTATCTTCTGGACGACAGTTGCATTTGGTGGAATAATGGACAAAGTAATACGAGGATATTCTGGGTCAATGTTACAACAGTCGTTCACATATTACATAAGTCAGCAGGAGGAGGTTTGACAAAGCTTACTGATATTTCTGAACACTAAATATGTGTAAAGTGACTTACGGAGGGGATCAGGGGGGGGGGGGGGGCAACATCTGGCTTACGTAATATGTCAACAACCCCAAGTCAATTTTAAAGTCACAAACTCATAAGATTCACTTATTATTAATAAAAACAGTCTCTTTAAATTGTCATACACAACCGTTGTCATTCTTAGACTTAATACACAGCCTTATTATATTATATCGGGATCATTGCCATTCTTCATGCGTTGGAGAAATACAAATTTGTCGGATAATTGGCTTATAATAACAATGGTCCCCATCGCTCTCCATGCTGTATTATATCACTTATAAGTCTCTTTTAGTTCTACTCAAATGATTATTTTCAATAAAGAATATAAAAAAGTGCATTTACGTATAAGTTTACATCAATTAAACTATCAGTAAGACAGTCATAAGATCAGGTGGCAACTTAACAATATAAAATTAAGAGCAAATCAATAAACAATCTGAAGGATACATAATTCAAATAATAATGTCAACCCTTCACTTACGGCTTAAAAGTCAATAAATTAAAAATTTGCGCAGCAGTAAGTACGTAGCTGCCGGTACATTAGGCGTGTCGTCAGTGTCTGGTCATAGCAAGTCTTTGTTTTTGTAACCATAACTGAGACATCTGAGTGCTAAACAACTTTTGAGCAAATTTTTCATCACCAGGCTTCAACTCTTTGATTTCTTCGATGTAACTGGCCATCGGAATTCTCCTGGAACAAGATATTTGTAATTGTACGAGAGGGATAAAACTCATAAATATACACATACTAATTGGTCGATTAGGTAAAGCCTTTATTTTGAAAATATTATTATTCCAACGTTTGCCAAAATAATTGCGATCAGACCTCAGTAAAACTTTTACATCTTCAAAGGTTATATAAGTGTGTTTCATGTTTAATTCAAACCTTATTCCGTCAACCTTTTCAGCACGATAGCAGAGCTCGTCTATTTTACCGAGATACGGTTTAAGAAAAGATCTCCAAATTTCGCTTTGTTCAACCGGTTCGTTATTCTTCTTCACTTCTCGTAACTGATGCTTGAGAGACTTCCTAGACTGAACATACAATTTTCAGATGTCAAAATATTATGAAAACTGTCTCGATTAACTTTTCAGCACCAGCCATGTGACACTAGCAATTAAGAAGCCTCGTCTCTTTGCCAAGATGTGTCAAAACACAAACAGAAATACATATTACAGAGAGAAGTGATAGCCTACAATCTTCAGCACAGATAAATGAAGCACTTACAGCTTCTGAGATGGGCAGAATCTTGGCTTCCTCGTCCCTCATGTCGTCCAGCTGGCCCCTGGTCAGATCCACCACTAGGACTTCCGTGTCCTTCAGTTCGTACTCTCGCACTTTACTGTAATCGTTCTTCAGCATTCCTGGGACGGGAACTCTTCATTTATGTGATTTAGACAAAACTGATAGAGTTTTCCTGTATCTATCTAGGATTTTAATATGAAGTTCTGACAATTTATTCGAAGACACTCTGATTCACGTCATACAGCACGGCTACCGTCCGCAATGTAATGTCGACAAATGTTTGCACCAATTGCAACCAATTATTGCACATTTTTGTTAGCAATATCGTGCACATTAAGGCTCACATAACGTGCGAACAAAATGTTGACAATATCTGAAACCAGGTATAGTCTAAGATGGTCACAAATTCTAAACAGTCTGGACATTAATTCAAGAAATTTGTGGTATGTGATGAAAGCTAGTCCACTTTGTACTCTGGCTCTAATTCCAGACCTCAGAGCTATCGTTTACTCCAACGTACCTATAACGTAGGGTGAAGGAGATTGGACCAGATCTCGGACAAGGGCCCTGATACCAACAGATAACATGGGAATGTAGATACAGACCCATTTCAGAGGGTAGAGGAGAGAGGTTAGAGCATGGAGAGTTGAGGTTAACGAGGATAGTGACTTATCTAGAAACAGTACCTGAAGAGAGGGTGGGGTTAGGATAACTGATTGAATCAACGCACAAGTCGTACATGAATGAGCTGAATCTATTTATAGCAAGAAATTCGAATCGAAAAATTTCTGCTTATTAAAAACTATGTATAATATAACTATTAACTATGTATAAATAACTATGAATAATTATAAAAAGAAGTAACAATTGAACAAATATAAAGAAAATAAGCCTAAGACTTAACAAGACGTATCATTTAAATTTGTTCTTTAAATTTAACAAGACTAGATGAACCAAGTACCAACCTTGCTTTCAGTGAAGAGGGCTGTCATAATGATGATCAGCATGTTCTTGGACAGCTTGTTTAATAGGTTTATGTTTTTCAAAAGGTTGATTCTATCCTCAGGACCTGGTCTGGTTATGTCGTACAGACCCATCTCATTTTCTGCACTGTCCTTACTTATGTACTGGACCTGTGAGACGGTAATTTCAACAATTTATTGAAACACATCGAACTTATTCCTGAGCAGCTGATTTTTTCATATTTTCTATAGAGATCAAGAAAAATGAGGGCAACACTTTTAAGTTTTGATGTGTTAAAATAGTTGACCAATGGAATCTAGATGTAATAAAGGGGCAGGAATGTGGAATGTAGGAGTGGAATCAGAGCTCAATGCCAAGAATAAACCATTGCTACGATTCTTCAGAACTGACTTGCATTGAATATCCCGGTAAGGGAGCTGCAGCTTCACCGATAGATTTAAGAAATGAGAAAACTTCGCTGTCCGCGTTTGTTGTGCTTTCTCTTCTAATTTTATGAACCTGACAATGTTACGGATAAGTTAAACTTAACATAAATGTTATTGTGGGTCTTTTCAGACAAAATATCGTCGCCCAACAAATTCTTGTATTCCCAGAAACCTGATATATCGAGATTTAAAAGTTCTCTTCGGATATTTTCAGTAACATAAGAGTGGAAGCCTAAGAGGGTGGGACCAGAATTAAACCGAAAAGCAAGAAAGGAATTTTCTGCACACATGGCTTACCTCGTCAAATATCATACTGAAGGTATCAAAGCAGTGGAGTTTGGTCACAATACACCACACTCTGATCTTGAGGAGTCTCCGTTGATTACGGGTCAATTTCCGGTTTTTGTCTTCGTTCGATTGTCTCACGCTAGCATCAGTACCTGCCCGTACTGAGATATGAAGTTTCAGAATAGCCCTTTTTTCTATCTACTTCAAAGGAAATAAAACTCAATATGTTACGTGATTGCTGAAGCGGTATTTGATGCCGGCTTTATGTTTATAATTCCCTAGCATACGTTCTCTCTGGAGCCCCGAAAAACAGCGATCAGGAATAACAGGATTAATCTTCTGAAGTTTAGTCAGGTCCTATTTTTGCACTGCAATGCGCGGTCCAGGAATTCCTAAGTGACAGGCAAAACTTTGGAGCAGTAAGATCATACAATTAGAACGCTTTGGCTTCACGTTAAGTCACACACACACAACACTTTACACGCTCATAGGTCGACATGGCCAGGAGTCAGGACTAATGTATATCATAACAAAAAAAGCCCAATACAAGCTCGGAAATGGCGCGAAACCTCTAGCCCTATCATCACAATAACAGCTCTCGCCAGTCAGAGGAATGAACGCAACTGCCACCCCAAATAACGGGTGATCTCAACTCACAGCGACTGGCGACTGTATCCTTGTACTTAAATCTGCGGCAGTAACCGACTGTTCTGGCAGCCGACATGTCTGTCTGCACAAAAGCGTACGTCTCCGTCAGGAAGTTTGTTCTTTTGACTTCCAGTATATCTAGGTCAGGAAACGCGAACTCTGGTACTATTTTTTCTGGAGGAAATTGGGCGTTACATATTATATTAGGCATTAGCACAATCAAGAGCCAAAGTTATTAAAACAGAAGAAAGTATTCTCTACCTAAAGTTATCTACATTTAACTAATCTGTACCCTTTAAAAGCTCTATCTCAGCCTTACCAGTAGCAGCAATGTTGCGACACTGGGTGGACCCCAGCGGAGGGTGACTCCATGACACCACAGGTTTCAGTTTCAGTTTACCAGAAGCTTCGTCCAACTCAGCTGTCAGGGACACTTGGTAAACGCTTTCAAATAACTTGTACCGTTCTGTCGTTTTGGGAACCACTTTGGTTTCTGTGATAGTCTTTCTGATCGGAGAATTTAAGGTAATGAATGTCTTCAGGGTGATAGGGAGTATGAGGCCAGGGATGAGGCAAAATAAAGTTTGAGTCTAAATTGATCTGCCGTTTGTATTATCTTTCACATCACATTAAAATGTATGGGGTACACAATATACATCATATTATGTTACACTTACAGCAAGCTATGGTAAATATGCTGCATAATCCTATATGTAGTTGAGATGACAACAAAATATGATTCTCCTAGCCGAACAGGTGCAGTTACAATGTAGATGGAAGTTTGACTCACTTGAGTTTTACATCTCTGAAATGATCCGGTTTAGGGCTGGAAGGTTGTTTTGGGGGCTCTTCTTTCTTAGAAAACATACTGAACGGTCTCGATTTCTGAAATTGTAGACTTACCAATACAACATTGCGTACAAGGAGAAATAAAACAATTCAAATAGAAATATTTTAATTAGCCACTTGTACACTGCAACTGTCATCATTGAGAATACAACAAATTATAACACTACAAATACATTAGGACATTGCAGGTGACCTGCTTTTTAACGTGTCCTGGACTGAGGTTTCGTTCCGAGCTGAACTTTTGATCTGAAAGCCCGGAAGCCATCATCATATCGCACAAACAACAACACAACAACGATGCAGTTAAAAATTTGAAGAAAGTACATCAAATTAGATGTGCCGAACACAATTTACCATACATCAAGGCGAAAGATACGCCTAGCGCTCATTTGCCAATTATACATACGCACTCATAGTCACATATACACATGCCAATTATATCTAATGGTGAAAATTACAAATTTGTTACATGTAATGCTCTTTATAACTATTCTAGAATTGCTAATAAGACGGTAAATGGGCGTTAAAATGTGTTTTATACTTATTATGCTGGAGCTGAAATTGGTGCAGTAATTACATAATCGAATTTCTGGACTGGCCAGTCCAGAAATTGTAATTAGGTTTCATCAGGAATAATTGGACCTCGTTACGAATATTTATCTGATTTCAATACTTTTCATTGTAGATATTTTAATGAGAAGTATACATGAAACCATCTATCAAGTTGTTAATGATGGCGATCAGAAACGTATCTAATTTTACAAAAAATAAATCTTGTAAGTCTGAGCGTATGTTTGTTTTGGTTACGAGCAAAGAGAAGAAGTTAATCAAAGAGAACAACTGAAGTTTCGGCACTTGTGGGCCTTTTTTTACTAAGGCTTAGTAAAAGGCCAGCAAATGCCGAGCCGTCGGTTCTACTTTATTATTTACTTTGTATTACCAGCTATTTGCCCTGTTTCATTTTGTCCGCTCTGGCATAATTGTCGAGAAAACACCAGACGGTTGTCAACAAACTATCAACATCATCACAGTACAAAAGTATATTAGTACACACTATACACAAATTAAGCTTGCCTTATCAGCATTATCTTCAGTAATGCCTGTAATTCTTGTTACAAGTACATTATTATCAGTGCAATGCAAGGATTAAAAATAAAATTACCTTTCCATTGGCTTTGATATCGATTTCACTCTTGGCTGACTTGATCATTTCTGGAGGAGCTGAAGCTTTCCGTCCCGAGTCTGAAGCTTTCCCGCGTCCCGAATCTGACCGTTCCCTGTTTCTTGCACTGGGGTTGTTTGGGGACGGGGAGGGTTTCCGTCCCGAATCAGACCGCTCTCGTGATCTCTGGACTGCAGTCCCATTTTGGGATGGAGAGGATTGCATACCAGGGAGTTTGAGTTTATTGAGGGAGGGAGAGTTGCTGATTACTGAGTCGCTTACTGAACCTGAGGGAGAAATGGGTAAAGTGGGGGAAACATGAGGTTATGTACGTCTTATATAGAATGAAGATGATTGATGAACCGAGTTGGCTTGGGTTGGTCAGCGAACATCCTAAGGTTTGGAAGGATAATCACTGCCATTTTCACAAATCAACTTACTCATACGTTGTGGTGGTGCTGGTGCTGAAGGTGTGGGAGGAGGAGGGACAGTTTGTTTTTTCTCCACGGGTGGTTTCTTTTCCACGGGTAGTTTCTTCTTCCTTTTTAGTCTCTGGATTGATCTGTAAAACACGTTCTTTCGCTTAAAGGCCTCATCCTCTGCTGTGGGCGGCTTCTTCTCACTTAATATTAATTCTGCTGTCATACCTTCCGCACTGCACAAAGAGCTGTATTGAAAAACTTGTGAATGAATAACGAATATTTACAAATGCTGGACGATATGCAAGAATATCGAATATCAGAACTGGGGATTAACTGGGTATAGGTATAACCTTAGTTAGGAAGGATGAAATTAGACAATGAGAGCACGAAAGGCAATGAGAACACGAAATTAAGCAACTGGAGACAGGAAATGTTGATCAACACGGGGTGGCAAAAAAAAGCACTTCTCGCCAAGATTTAACACGCCTGTTATGACAACATCAGAGGTAGTCATGACAGCATCACAGCTACAAATATATCACAATTAGGTGTATTGGAAAGTGTTGAGATGCGAGGAAACGCATGCTGGTGAGTCAGGTGTTTTGTGTACAAGGAAAAGCAGCGGTCGCAAGCACCAATATCAGTCATTTAACCATACGACTCTGTAGTTAGAGATCAGTAAAGTCACTCTGACAGCCCAGGAAACCTGATATGGCGCCCATGTTGATTGTTGAAAATATTCTACCCGATTTCTGATGCTAATTAGCACTGGGAGGATTTCTTCGTAGAGTTCAGAGTAATTTCAGGTTTTCAACAGCAGTATTAACTCATAACATGACACTAGGACCTCCTTGAACAAGAACTGACAAGCACACTGCTTAAACAAGGCCCGATTCTTCGCATTCCACAATTGTTTACGAGCTGTGGGAAAAATGGGATTCAAAATTGTTTAAACTTGTCCAGAAGTTGTAAAAATATTTACTGTTGTGACAACCGCGAGGGCTGAAACATTCAAAATAACGAAAAAGAAAACATACTGAATTAGACTACATCTAGGCTGGAGCAGTTAAGAGAACTACAAATGCAGCGGCGATAATAATGTACTAGCAGCTGGCTGGGATTTACACCAGAGGCTCATTTTGCGAGAATTATAGCGTTCTACAAAATAACCGGCATATCGGCATCACATTTCAAATTAGATCATCGTCTCAAACACTTTAGCAGCAACTGTTCGAAAGAGCGAACGAATATAATAAAAGCAGGACATCAATGGACATAGTCGGACTAACATTTGTCCAGTCCAGGAATGTGTATGAGGTCCGTACCGTTCTGACATTTCACTTCAATAACTTATTACGTCACTTCATAGATCGTCACTTCATGTTTTAGAAAGCTAAACAGACCAAACGAGGTGAAAATATGATGTCTGTTAAAAATATCGATATTATCAAAAGCTACACCGACATCAGCAGTAAAACAGCGTTCATTGCGTACATTGTTTTAACAAGGATAAGTTGTTACGGAGATACACAACCAATTGCAAAGATGCAACCGAAATGTAAATTTGTCTGATATATATTATATAATATGGGTGAATTACACAACCACCAAATCTAATTAAGATTTTAAAATAATCTACCAAAAACGTGTGGTTTTCATTTTTGCCAGTGGCTATGAAATCCCAATCCCTAAAGTTTGACGAGATACCCTAAACTTGATCATAAAGTGTAAAACTAAAACTAAAAGTATGAATACACCTACATTGTACAATATACGTCGTACGTTCGTCACAGTAGGAATATCACACCTCAAAAAAGTGGTGTGTTATTGTTATAGTACGATCGTGTATTATTGAACGTCATATTATACATCGTAAACATTGAACGTGTACATCATGGAGTCGCCAACAGCCACAATATATTGCATCAAGCAATGAGGCCGGTGTACAAAATCCAAAATCTAATTCGAGCGATTTTCTGCAAATTTGAATTGAGGATGAGTATCTTAAACTAATGAAAATCGCAAATCATCCAGTTAATAGCTACGAAAGTCGACTAATACAAAACGGTGCTGAAGTATAAACCATGAAGATACAACATTGGTTTAATATACACTAAAAACAAAACAACAGTTACGACAGTGGCCACAAATAGGCTTGAAATAACGGAGTCTCTGTGTTAAACTTAAAGCACAACACATCCGATATCGTTCACTGAAAATCTAATTTAAGACCTGTAGAGGGAAAATTAGTTCAGTTTACACAAGTGAGATCATCCTACTCGCTCTCCACTTTCAGGGAACCACTAATGTACGAGTATTATAAAGTGTGACGAAAGTTCTAGAACAAAAACAAAGTGAGAGGGAGAGGGAATACCTACTCATGCTGAATGTTTATCTACTGCTGAATGTTAACCCCTCGACGCGCCGTAAAATTAGATTGTACTTGTGAGGTTTTGGGGAAGGTTAAAGAGTTATCCTTGTCGCAAGAACAATGAGAATGAACGGAATTACTTTGCAGAATAGTAACACACTGATATATATGCATTGTTTGTAGAAACTATATAACAAAGAGTAAGATGTGGTCATCAATTAATTGTATAAGCTCACTGATCAGCCAATGTCTTACTCTTCTTTGATCCAGGATATAAACGTGACAAAGCTACTCAATGATTGCCCAATTTTGGAATATTACTGTGTTCATGACTGACAAAAATATCTGGTGAACAGGTGAAAGTCTCAGAGATAATGGAACACAACAAAGAGCTTGGAAAGGAGTGCTAGGAGGAGGAGTCACAAGTCACAATGTACATTATCATGACCTCATTCACGCTAAACATTGGCCCGAAACCAACCAACATAAATATGACTTGTAAATATGACTAGTACTAAGTGGTACAACTGAAGTGTATAAAGTGTACAGAAACCTGATGAGTTTATAGAAGTTGGCTCAAACTACTAACACAATAAATACATCGTGCCTGCTAGGCTTCGACCAGTTAATGAATCCCTGGAACAGAACACTATTGAAAACATTTCACAGGAAACGAGAGCGAAGTGCACTGCATTAAAAGTGAGTGCAAATTGGATCAAACCTGAACGTCATTTCAGCCACGTCTCAAATTACCCCTATTCACTTTTACTTTTGGGCCAGTCACGAGCTAGTAGTGCTACTGCTAGTAGCACCGACCTCGGCTCTATTTGGCGTGACTTTTCAACCCGAAGGCCGAAAGTAGAATCCAAACCAAACGCTGACAACAATTCCATGAAAATAAGGAATTGGATGAAAAAATGAACGCAAGCGGATAAGATCATCAACCAAGTCTGGATGAGGTCAGAAAACAGATAGAGGTCACACTTGTATCTCATCTGTACTTAGCAGTTAGCATATCCATGTAGGGGTTCCGTTCAAAGAAAACTTGAAACACAGCAACACTATATAGTTTGAAATAAAATAAAAAGTATCACCGAAACCCGACACAAAACATTAAAAGCCGCGTTATACTTATAGAGACAAAAGCCAGTCCGCGGCAAAGAATTCGAACATGTCATGTAATACACTCACACATATTATGTTGGTCACACATATTATGTTAATTACTGAAGGTCGGTTCCCGGTAGTCATATAGCTAGTGATATCTCAGCATTATGTGCTGGGACTTTGTAAACATTCATCGTAAGTAATGAATTGAAATGAGATATTTTCACATTTTATCAAATCAACAGTAAAATGGCTAATTAGTTATTGCTGACAGCCAGACGAGCAGTTTAAGCTAGCGTCCAGAATGTCACATCACAGCATGTCACATTACAGCATGTCACATCACAGTATGTCACATCACAGTATGTCATATCACAGTATGTCACATCACAGTATGTCACATCACAGCATGTCACATCACAGTATGTCACATCACAGCATGTCACATCACAGTATGTCACATCACAGTATGTCACATCACAGCATGTCACAACATGGCATGTCACATCACAGTATGTCACATCACAGCATGTCACATCACAGCACGTCACATCACAGTATGTCACAACACAGCATGTCACATCACAGTATGTCACATCACAGCATGTCACAACATGGCATGTCACAACATGGCATGTCACATCACAGTATGTCACATCACAGCATGTCACATCACAGTATGTCACATCACAGCATGTCACATCACAGTATGTCACATCACAGCATGTCACATCACAGCATGTCACATCACAGCATGTCACATCACGGTATGTCACATCACAGTATGTCACATCACAGTATGTCACATCACAGTATGTCACATCACCTCAACTTAAAATAAAATGCTAAGACGATAAAACGGCCATAAATGGAAATGTGTTACTGCTCACTCAATTAATTTATCCCACGATCCGCCGGCTGCAACGAAGCGGAGAGTTTTACGTCGCTGATGGCTTCTTGTAAATACATGATTCACCAATTCATGAATCCATATTAAATTGTTAACTGTAAAATGGACAATTCACTAAGAAATATCTCAGACGTTATATTCCATTTACCAATAACAAAGGAAACATTGTGATAAGAATAACATCGGAGTTCAATACTGATTTTATCACCTAACGAATGACGGACAGAAAAGTTAAAGATATCCAGAATCCAGAAACCCGTGTAATGTGTATCGACTAGACGCACGGACTAATTCCAGGGCAATCACACTCTACCAAGTAGAGAATGATTCACCTGTAGAAATCGAATGATTGTCAAAGCCGGCATCAACATGCACGTAGAGAAATTAATAGTCTATACATTGTACATGGATACATAATGTTTCTGTCAACTTCAGAGTAGGGTTGCCATTATCAATACAAATTTTTTAATCGCGATAATCGATAACTTTTTCAAAATTATCGCGATAATATCGGTTATCGGTGATAAATTTGGCAAGATAATAGAAGTAATATTTGTCTGCACTATGCATACTTGAATTATGCTCCTATGCTATGTAACCTTGTTACATCATCATTATATACAGATATGATATATAGTTACAATACATTAATTGAATTTAATTTCCAAAAATCGGTAAAATTCGAACTTTGAAGATAAAAATAGAAAACTTTGATAGCATTATTTGTTTATAATCTATTTCGTGAAAGATTGACTTAGTATCCATATTCCGTGCACGCTTTGAAACCATTTATTTATCTACGATATTATTTTTTTTTGTTTGGTTAAATAACTTTCATTTAACTGATTGGGACTACTTGACTCATAACTAACTAGATGCGATAATATAACACGACATTTCAATTTTCACTGCCGCAAATTTATAAACACTACAGACTACATAGCACGTCAGCATACCATCACATTGCAAATTATGGTAGCAGTCGGGTTTAACATGACAAACAAAGAAACGGATTAGAAAAATATGTTAAATTTAGGCTATTTTCCCCTAATAAAAATTGGTTGATTATCGCGATAATTCTCAAGAATTATCGCGATAATCGATAAAGATTTTTGGCAAATTATCGCCGATAATTATCGGCCGATAATACCGGTTGGCAACCGGCCCTTCATTTTAATATGATCGGAGGTTAGGAAAGCGTCACCCAAGAAACAGTGTCGTGATATGTTATATTAACCAGTTGTGTCGTGATAGCAACCAGCTGTGTCGTAATAGCAACCAGATGTGTCGTAATAGCAACCAGATGTGTCGTGATAGCAACCAGCTGTGTCGTAATAGCAACCAGCTGTGTCGTAATAGCAACCAGTTGTGTCGTGATAGCAACCAGATGTGTTGTGATAGCAACCAGTTGTGTCGTGATAGCAACCAGATGTGTTGTGATAGCAACCAGATGTGTCGTGATAGCAACCAGATGTGTCGTGATAGCAACCAGATGTGTCGTGATAGCAACCAGATGTGTTGTGATAGCAACCAGTTGTGTCGTAATAGCAACCAGATGTGTCGTGATAGCAACCAGCTGTGTCGTAATAACAACCAGTTGTGTCGTGATAGCAACCAGTTGTGTTGTGATAGCAACCAGTTGTGTCGTGATAGCAACCAGATGTGTTGTGATAGCAACCAGTTGTGTCGTAATAGCAACCAGATGTGTCGTGATAGCAACCAGATGTGTCGTGATAGCAACCAGATGTGTCGTGATAGCAACCAGATGTGTCGTGATAGCAACCAGTTGTGTCGTGATAGCGGCTCAATACCACTATTACCTCTCCTTTTTACCAACTTGAATTTTTTTTAACTTTGGAGCTTTTCATAAAAACTTTGGGACTATCCATAAAATTAAAAAGCCCCAAAGAAAAGTGGTGGCCAGTTAAAGTCAGGTCACATATAAAACCTACATTTGCTACCCCTCGGCCACCCTCTCCTCTCAAAGTCTAATCCCTCTAAACTCTCTCGGTCACCAAGTCCTTTTTTATTTTTCTCCTGCATAGGGATAAAGAAACAAGCTTTCCTCAACTCAGATATCTCCGTCTATACTCCCTTTTCATTGTTTCAAAGTAGCGGTGCAATGTTAAAATCCGTTTATTGGAGACAGTGATAACACGTTTTAAAATATAACGATTAAATTTTCAACATCAACAGTCGCACCAACTTCTTCAACAATATTTACAGATCCCACCGTTCAATGTTCATACGAATAATCATATGTGACCAAGTGCCAATGTTAGTCCCTCCATTTCATTTGGATACAGATAGTTTAGTTCACTAGTTTACTACTACTATAGTAACTCACTGGTGTAGTCGTGTAGATCTCTAGTTTCCGAGGAGGGGGAAACTTATCTTTTTACCGTGGTGATACCACGCTGCTAAAGGGTGATCCTCACTGGCGTCGTGGTAACGATTATCTGAAATAAACCTCCGTAAGATAGAGCTGTCTTTATAAATAGAGTTAACTTACTAAATTAGCGTAAGTTAGTTTTGAAAGGATAAGATTTTCTACATTTCCGACCAAATTGACTGAAAGGTTTCGAAACCTATCGGCCACAGCAGAAGTGTGCCTAATGATGGTTTATACTTTATACTTTATACAATGTACATTGTACATGATAGAGATAAAGTGATAGAGATAAAGTGCTGAATATATCTATGATCGACCGGTACTTTTTATACATCAGTTAAGTTTGTAACTGTTAATCTGTTATTTATATCAAAACAGATATTACGTTAAATATATAAAACTCATCTGAAATCGGAAGCACTGAACTGTAGTCTGTACAAAATAAAGTAATAAGGTTTTTAATAAATTTCTGATAATTTAAAATCAAATGTTTCAATCACCTGATATTATTTTGTAATTTGTATCGAAATATATTGTTTTTCAGTTATAAATTTACCTTTTGTTTAAATTAATTATTTTATTATATGTGATTAATTTGTATTAATTTATTATTTGTGTCTTATAAATTAGTCACTATATTCATTTATCATTTTAATGTTTAATTTGTTTTTGTGCTTAATTTATGATTACTTCTATCTGAGATTCTGTGATTAAATTTATTTTGTTGATCATAATGTTGTGATAGCATAATTTATTGTAAATATATTATATTTCAATATTATGTAACGCGATGCAATTATTATAAGCGGGTAATATCCTGTCCATTGTCCAAACCCAGGATGCATAACATGAAGACTTTGTTGTAACTTTGTATGAAAAACATTAATAATAATGAGCAAGGGGAAATGCTCCCTTCATGATTTTCCCTAGTAATAGTATAGGTCACGTATGCGGATTTAACAGAAATTTATCAGAAACATAACAACGATGCGACTCATAAATAATGTTCCTATCCGGATATTGCATAAAGTATAATATCTCTCACCCAGAGCTTCCAGTACATGTCCAGCCATGGTACAAGACGTCTTCTGAGGGTTATCTTCTACTGTGAGGTACTTAACTACTCCGTTCTCTAAAATCATAGCGAACCTCTTGGATCTTATACCTGGGAATTAACAGATTTATTGTTGTAGCTTTATAACCTACCAAGACGCGCGCCGAGTTGGACTCGTCGACGGTTTAATATTTGGAACAAATATTTTACGAGTATCACCCGTTAACTTATTACCCACTCGCCTGCTTCCGTTAAATTTATTGGAGAAATTTGTCAAGTGGACAAATTTATTATTTCAGCTGAAGATGAGAGGCCCAGACTGCTATCCAATAATCTTTGCAATTCGATCAGATATTGATTATTGCAGTAGCAATCGCCTTTCATTATTTTAGCTGCAGGTCCAGCTGTGAAATAAGTGCTTCTCTTTAGCAGTTTAGGCGCACCACAGCTTGGATGTCGCTTAAAATAACAAATTTCTCATAAAGGATTGTAACAGCTTACCCCCTAATTGCGCGTACATGTTAGTTTCCATCCCAATACTTTTAGTAAACTCACACAGCACGTCTGATAACATTTTTACCTGCCAATTAATTAATTAAGTAATTAAGCAATTAATAGCTCAATCAATAAATTTTACAGTGCCGAACTTAAATTACTCATTAGGCAGTGAAAGGAAACCATTTTGGAAATAATAGTAAACGAAAGTAGAGGGAAATAAGGGCGGTATAACAGGGCTAGACTTCACCACGAAGATCCCTGAAGTAAAATCTCCTTATATGGGCATCACGAAGGGGTGTAAGTACATCTGCTTATATGGGCATCATGAAGTAGTAGTAAACCCGTAATGGGCTGGCATGAGCCTCAATAGGATATTATATAAAGTTAATCAGTACCTCACCTTCTTATCGGCGTTCTGGTAGTAGCCCCAAGCTGTGGTAACGTAGGGGTCGTTTACTGACACACAGGCTACTATCTCAACACCACGATGTTTGAACTTGTCGTGATCTTTTAAGAAACTAGGCAGGTGGTTCTGGAGGTTTAGGTTTTAGTTGGTTTAGTTTAAACAGTTGAAATGTGTTTTCTTATGAATTTTGCTGCTCCAACCAATGATATGCTAAATATTGAAGTTTGGCTAATTATAGACTAACTATTTAAATCTGATAGAGATAAGAATTAAAACTAACCGTTGAGCAGACGGGAGTAAAAGCTCCAGGAAGTCCGAACAAAATGCCAAGTCTAGCGTTCACGAACAGGTCCCTTACATTTACAGGTATTGGAGGGGCACAGTTCTCGTAGACTATTACCGGTGGGATTGTCTGTCCTATCTGAGAATACAGGTGTTACCATAGTCACCATAGTTACCATAGTTACCATAGTTACCATAGTTACCATAGTAACCATAGTTACCATAGTTACCATAGTAACCATAGTTACCATAGTTACCATAGTTACCATAGTTACCATAGTTACCATAGTTACCATAGTTACCATAGTTATCATAGTTACCATAGTTACCATAGTTACCATAGTTACCATAGTTACCATAGTTACCATAGTTACCATAGTTACCATAGTTACCATAGTTACCATAGTTACCATAGTTACCATAGTTATCATAGTTACCATAGTTACCATAGTTACCATAGTTACCATAGTTACCATAGTTACCATAGTTACCATAGTTACCATAGTTACCATAGTTACCATAGTTACCATAGTTACCATAGTTACCATAGTTACCATAGTTACCATAGTTACCATAGTTACCATAGTTACCATAGTTACCATAGTTACCATAGTTACCATAGTTACCATAGTTACCATAGGGAATGGTTGGATAGTAGCCAGTGTTGTGATTTACAGTGCTATTATCAAGAATTTTAATAGATATTATGCACCAAAGCAATCATTTCTTATTTAAGGATCTGAAGCCCTACATTTTTAATCGTAAATATTTATCATCATGCCACAGCCTTAGAGTCTGCTAAGATTCTTGATCAAAGACAGACTGTAACCAAACGACCCTCCTCACTCTTGACCCTCCTTCTAGATTCTCTGGCCCCAAATGTTGTAATTATAACAATATTGACAAGTATGAAGGGTCAGGGTCCTGGCAGCCCCTATCAGCTCGGTTTGCTGCTCCTCAGGCTTATCACTGACATCCAACAATCACAACACACCGTGCACTACCGCCCTAACAATCACTATATTGCTACATATATGAGCTGCTACAACCGGCTTCTAAGTAAAGTTTTTTTTTATGTTAGATAGCAAGTGTGGTTTGTATTAAGTGACCGAAATAGAATATGGGATACAAAAAACTGCTAATTTTGAATAATTGCAGTCGACACTGGGATTAGAATGATTCGGATTTAAAGCTATCGATTGGAAGAGAAAAACGCCATATTTGGAAATTTCAAGTTTGCTTAAAAATCAGAACCTGAGAGTGAGGGGACTTCATGAGGTAGTCCAATGTAAAGGTCAAATTTTACTTGTTCATAAATTACCTCCTCAAATTATTTGTTATATAGTAGTGTTGAAATTAATATTAAAACATATTATTATTATATGTAGGGACAAACACACTATAAAATTAATGGAAATAATTACCGCACTTTATTATTCACGGACCTTAATGCCACAGACATTATTTTCACGGACTTAATTATTCACGCTAAGGTCTTCAGCGTGAAAGTAATGTTCGTGATAATCATGACCGATAAGGTAATTAATTTGTAATTACCCGCCAATAATTACCCTGATTTGGTGCTCGTTGTGTTCAGTATTGGTAAGATAAGGCATCCTCGCTCCATCAATAGGACTCTCTGCTCTGACCTGCTGTTGCTTAGCTACTGGAGCTCTCCTATCGTCAGCAGTGTGATCCACGTACCTCAGCGGACCTCCTATAAAATAGTTCAAGAATATTAAGCTACAGACCACAGACTACAGACTACATACTACAGACCACAGACTACAGACTACAGACTACAGACTACAGACTACAGACTACAGACTACAGACCACAGACTACAGACCACAGACTACAGACTACAGACTACAGACTACAGACCACAGACCACAGACTACAGACTACAGACTACAGACCACAGACCACAGACCACAGACCACAGACCACAGACCACAGACCACAGACCACAGACCACAGACCACAGACCACAGACCACAGACCACAGACTACAGACCACAGACTACCCTAGTTCCCAAAATATCAGGGGACCTCCTGTAAAGTGGCTCAAGTGGCTCAAGATATGAACTTAAATATTGAAGGGTGAACTTAAATCATGCAACTTTAGTACAAATTTGTACTTCAGACTCAGTTCGTGGATGACAAACGAAGAGGTGTACTTAAATGTGTACTTAAGTCATACAACAATACACCATAAACTGTTCGTGGAGGACACCCACTACCCAGGATGCTACGTCTAAGCTTTGGTATAAAGCCACAGACCCTCTTGCAACTTGTGGAATTAACATTCGGTTGGGAGGGAGTAAAATTAAAAATCTAAAAATAAAGTTCGGACGAATACTATATTACAGTCCGCCCTGAAGAATGCATACATTCAGTATTTCAACGCATATTTTCATTTACGCGTATTCATAAACGTTTTGTTTCTGTTGAAGTCTGTAGCTTCTTTTGTTATTGGATAAGTTTAGAATGCTTTATCTTTCAATATGCTACACAATAACCGAGAATTGTGGATAGGAAACATTTTCACATTGACTCACGAATTAGTACGCTCAAAGAAATAATTAAAATCTGTATATTACTTGAGAAACGTTTCACTTTCATTGGAAAGCTTAAAATACTGGGATGGTCTTTAGAAAACCTGAGCTTTGATGTTTATCTTTGAGGTTACTCTTCTTGGGTAGTTGATCTAAAGGTGGAACCCCACTCTTAAAGGGTCTCAGCAGCTCATCGTCATCATACTGGTCGGCAAATGTTACTATAGTGTTCTTATCTCCTTTCCTTTCCTTTTTCTTCTTCTTACCACCCATCAGTACTGCATCATGATGTTAATAGTCATTGGATAGACAAATTTAACTTTTATTAGAAGAAAGTCGGTCGTGTTCATAATTCAGGAAATTATCTACATGAGCTATCTTTTGAAGTTTTTTAAAAGAATTTTCCTAAAAGCCGTTTGAAATAAAGAACGGAACAGGATAAACGATTTTAACGAGTTATAACTTGAGACATGGTAACTTAGGTTTTTTGTACAGAAAATTTAAAATTGCTCATATTACGAGCGATCATTGACCAGTACAGTAAAACTAAAAGAACATGATACAAACGTCAAACAACTTGTTAGAAATGTGAGCCAACAAATTGTAAACAAGTACAAACATTGTTAAGCTGCTTTTTCTCCGGAGACTTTTCCTCCAAATTCTCTCTGCTCTGCGAAACGACTGAGGGGTGGTCTACGGTGGCTCAGGCCCGCCATCGTTTTCTATTTTAATATTGAATCGGAATTTCATAGCTCAAATCCGCCATGCCGTTCAAAAATTGATTTGAAAAAAAAAAACCAATGTCAAACCATTTTCTATTTTGATATTGAATTGGAATTTCGGCCTACCGACAGTTGCGCCAGTTTCCCACACCTTAACAGGCCATTAACAGGTTCCCAATCAGTGTCGTGATCAGATTAACATTCGGTTGAGAGGGGGGTAAAATTACAAATTAAATTTGCAAAATCTAAAAATAAAGTTCGGATGAATACTATATTACAGTCCGCCCTGAAGAATGCATACATTCAGTATCTCTTCGCATATTATCCTCGGTAATTCACTATGTGTACGTGCTACATAATAATGAACGATGATTCCATCCTAAATGTAATTATATTTATACAGGATGCCACGACTCAGCTTTTACATGAAGCCACGATACTTGCTCAAGAATCTTAACGGCTTTTCCATTTTATTTCGTAGCTTTGCGTCTATCGTTATGATCGTACGATTTTTTGATTGAATAAAGTTTACTTTTTATTATAATTGGGAGATTTCAATATCGATTGGGCGCAACTGTCGTATCTGATCTGTGATCAAGCAGTTTTTTAATTGGTTTTGATTCGTCATCTTCCCACGGTAGCTTAAGCTAGATCTAGATTGGCCGCAACTGTCTGGCAGCCGGAATTTCATGGCTCAAACCCGCCATCGTTTTAAAAAAAATATGGGGTCGTTCACATATTACCTTATTACGTCATGATCGGCCGGAGTAGGGGAGGCGGAGGTGGGGGGGTTGCCTTTGATGACGGAAGGGGGAGGGGTGTCTGTGTGTGGATGGGGGGGGGGGGGGGGGGGGGGCGGGGGATCACATTTCCACCTTATTCTAGGAAGCCGATTTTTGATTTAGGCCTCCAAGTGCAAAAGGTGAAAATGCGATTTAGAGTCGATTCCGAAAATTTCATGCAAAAATTTTGAAAACTGATTGAGTTATTTCCAAATTAATGAAATCAATTCCGCGAACATCGCGAACGAAGATACGGGTAATTTTGTTCATTTTTTGGGGTATTTTCGTCTTAGTATCCACATTTAAATCTCATTCAAAAATATTGATATTTGACCAATTTATGGTTTTTGACTCACAACTCAGTCAGCCCCCCCCCCCCCCCCCCCCCCCTCCCTTAATATAAAACCACATGGCGGGTTTGAGCCATGAACTTCCGATTCAATATTAAAATAGAAAACGATGGCGGGTTTGAGCTATGAGTATGAAATTCCAATTTTTTTTAAATTAAATACTTTTCAAATTTTACAGAGTACAGCAATAGATGAATATAAAATAGAATCGTTCAAAATATCGCCCCCATCTGTAAAATATGATGGGCACCCAAACACGGTAAACACATAGTGAACTATGTCCGCAGTAACTTGGACCCATTTTCACCCACATTCACAATTAAATATCATAATCGAAATTGATTTGACATTGGTTTTTTCCCATATCAATTTCAAAACGATGGCGGTCTGAGCCACCATACTGCAAAAAGCTCTCAAATAAACACTGACATTTAGATCTCGAACTTATATTCATTTTGTTTTCTAGTGACGATTGTTTAGCGGCAACTTCTGTAAGGTTGTTACCGTTTTAGTAAAATGGAGCAGCGAAATTTACCAGACTTTAAAGATGAGATGAAGATGGAAGAAGAAAGTACTTCACCGGAATTGATCAAGACAGAGATTAAGCAGGAGGAAGATAATTTTGTTGTTAAATCAGAAGTGTATTCGAATGCAGTTTTTCAGTTGGATTGTCCCAACCAGGAATCAGCATTGCTTCGCCACCAGTGGGTTCATCCCGATGAAAATGCTTACGTTCGCACTGAATGTTCCTACAATGCAGGCAAAAAAACAGCTTTAGTTTCACATCAGCGAACTCATACCGGTGAAAAACCGTATAAATGCTCCAAATGTTCTTACAGTGCAATCCAAAAATCGCACCTAGTTCGCCATCAGTGGACTCATACCAGTGAAAAACCGTATAAATGCTCTGAATGTTCCTACAGTGCAAGCCAAAAATCAAACCTGGTTTACCATCAGCGGACTCATACCGGTGAAAAACCGTATAAATGCTCTGAATGTTCCTACAGTGCAATCCAAAAATCGCACCTAGTTCGCCATCAGCGGACTCATACCAGTGAAAAACCGTATAAATGCTCTGAATGTTCCTACAGTTCATGCCAAAAATCAACACTGGTTTGCCATCAGCGGACTCATACCGGTGAAAAACCGTATAAATGCTCTGAATGTTCCTACAGTGCAATCCAAAAATCGCACCTAGTTCGCCATCAGCGGACTCATACCAGTGAAAAACCGTATAAATGCTCTGAATGTTCCCACAGTTCAAGCCGAAAATTAAACCTAGTTCGCCATCAGTGGACTCATACCAGTGAAAAACCGAATAAATGCTCTGAATGTTCCTACAGTTCAAGCCGGAAATCACACCTAATTAACCATCAGATGACTCATACCGGTGAAAAACCACATAAATGCTCTGAATGTTCCTACAGTACTGGCTGGAAATCAGCCCTAGTTCGCCATCAGATTATTCACACCGGTGAAAAACAGTATAAATGCTCTGAATGTTCCTACAGTTCAAGCCGAAAATTACACCTAATTAACCATCAGATGACTCATACTGGTGAAAAAAAGTATAAATGCTCAAAATGTTCCTTTAGTAGCGGCTGGAAATCAGCCCTGGTTTGCCATCAGATGATACATACCGGTGAAAAACCGTTATATAAATGCTCTGAATGTTCCTACAGTTCAAGCCGAAAATCATACCTAGCTAACCATCAGATGACTCATACCAGTGCAAAACCGTACAAATGCTCTGAATACTCCTACATTTCAAACCAAAAATCAAACCTAGTGACGCAGATGACACACATCGGCAAAAAACCGTATCAGCGAAATGATATAGGAAAAAACTCACATTTTTTTCATGAAAACGATCAGGCTTCGAATTACTTCCAAAACGGTAGTGTTAAAGGACCTATTTTTGTTAAGCCTCTACCTTTCGTAAAGTCTCTAACATTTGTTAAGCCCCTGAACCTCGCTGACACCTTTCTTTCCAGTTCCAGCTTACCTACCAGTTCCTTCTCCAGTAACCAACCAGAATCTCACAAGTCTCACCCTGCAGCTCCTCTCACCTTATCACCTGGTGAATCTGTTTTTACACCTGCTCCCACTGTCCCACCTACCTACTCTACAACGCTTCCTTCCCCCTCTCATATTTCCGGCCAGTACAGCAACCATGATGGGGCGTAAATCGAAATGTATGTGTATCGTGTAAAAAAAATATTCAGTTAATGTTATTCTTAATAAAACTAGTTCATTTCCATTTATTTTCCAACCAGTTACGAATCATTTGTTTACTTTTAACGGCATCAATTAGTTATAAATCACTAAAAACGATTAAATGAGTCACTCAAGTGATCTATAAGATAAGGACAGCTTGCTGGTGGCACATTATTACTTCACGTTGACCAACTCTAATCCGGTAATATTGAGACACGATAAGACCATAGTTGCTCTAACTCTAAGTCTAACCAGAGCCCTCTCGCTTGCAGACGCAGTGAAACAAGCACGTCACGCAGTACGCGCAGACTCATGGCTAAGGTGAAAGACCATAGTATGTAGTAATACTAATAGTATCGTGAACATTAAACAATGAACAGGACATACTAATCAAGTTACACCCAATATAGCTTCCACATGGAACGTAAAATTACACTAATTACAAAGGCCCCGCCAGTAACATTACGTAATAGTAATACGCTGTACACCATTTTCCCGTCATATTGTTTGACTTTGATACTGCTCGGCCATGGCCGAGGAGACTAATTTTTCCCGTCATATTGTTTGGTACTGCTCGGCCATGGCCGAGGAGAATCGTTTTTTCGTCATATTGTTTGATACTGCTCGGCCATGGCCGAGGGGATTTTACTAATTCACTCGCCAGCGCGCTATCACGTGTTTTTAATGACGTGATTTTATTGGTCACCTCTATAACGCGCAATGTCTGTGACAGCACAGTTGTTTTCACACAATTTGTCCACCGCGCGTGCAATAAACTTTACCTGAGGACCCCAGGCTATTATGTTCATTAGATTTGGCGGAATGACAGGCTGAGCGCGGCCCAGTAAAATAAACTCAATTTAAGCTCCGATTTGTGACCGAAATGGCCGAAAGGAGACTCATTTTATCGTCATATTGTTTTTATTTTTAAAATGAGCCTCCTCGGCCATCATACATGCAGTTGTAGCAATAGCATTGTATGCAAATAACACCACAAATGTGAAATGAATAGTAATCGAATTTTTTACCAGGCGCACCTGTCCCTGTGCGTGGTGCTCTTTTCGGGCTTCTTGCATACAGTCTATGTGAACCGAGCGAAATAATATCAAGTTAGGTGATCAAATGTTTTGAATACCATGCGATATAACCGTAAAATAAAGTTGGTATAATTTCTTGTTAAGGTTAGAGTTTCAGCGTTTGCTTTTATTATGGATCAGGATGGGTTAGGATTATGGTTGGGATCAAATTAAAGGATTAAGGTTTTCGGTTTCGAATATTCGTTTAGGGGCCAGCAAGAGAACAAGTTGAAAAAGTCACGTGATAGTCCAGTGTAGAGTGATCAATCATTTCACATAGCCATGTGTATACGCGTATAATATACTTTGCCGCCTTCGGTGGTCGCGCGCTACTGCAAGCGAAAGCGGGCTCTGGTTAGAGCAAATCAATCATCATTACAACTGGATAAAAGTTTGCTTCACTGTTCACGTTGACAATCCTTAGCAACTCGGAAAGGCCCAATGGTGCATTTTGCCGATCTACTGAAGTGGTTGCAAGAAGCATTATTGGATGCGCGCAGTAGTGCATCGCGCTACAAAACAAAAGTGAAAAGCTTTTACATTAATTAACGATGTCTGCAATTCTTCCGCGCAGCTCGGCGCGGCCCAGTAATGCATCGCGCTACAAGCTTTTACAAAGTTAAGTCACAGTGAACAGTAAAATCGATCAGTTTTATTGACTCGGTCATTCATGGACTCGAAAATTTTGTACGAGCGTGCTAAATCACTTTAATCTACAGTTTCACATAGCCATGTGTATACGCGTACTGCGTGACGCGCTTGTTTCACAAGCGGTCGCGTTCTACTGCAACTGCAAGCGAGAGGGCTCTGGTTAGAGCAAATCTACAGTCGATCTTCGAGATTGTTCTTAAAGGGCCCCCGACAGTTGAAACCAACTTCGACCAATGTATTTTCGGACGCTGATTCCGAATCACTTCACATAGCCTAGCCATGTGTTTAATTGACGTTACCTGGGGACCTCAGGCTATCATGTTCATAAACATAGAGATTAGGCGAAATGACAGGCTGAGCGCGGCCCAGTAAAATTGACGATGTCAATTCATCTCAGCTCGGCGCGGCACAGTAGCGCATCGCGCTACAACCATGTGTATACGCGTACTGCGTGACGCGCTTGTTTCACAAGTAGAATATATCCTGTGCCGCCTTCGGCGGTCGCGCGCTACTGCAAGCGAGAGGGCTCTGGTTAGAGCAATAATCAATATGAAATTACTAATCTTATTTTATCCCATGGTCTTATCAATTAAAGGCTGCTGGTGGTGTCATCGTTTGACGGATGTTACTCTTCTAAATTTCTTCGAAGTAGCGCGCGCAGCTTTCTTCTCGACTAGACTGAATCTTCGATGGGCCAACAAATATTTGTTGTCGACGGCCCCAACGTTAATGTGGCTCTTGCTATGTGTTGGCTCAGCCGAATTAATTATTATGTAATCAAGTTTATTTTTCTCTTTTAGTTAGTTGTCATCCGGCCAAACATTAAGCAACTTATATTGCATAGCAGTTCCATTTATCAATTAGTATATCAAAATATGTCATTGTAATTTTGCATGGCTGAAATGTAACGCTTGATTTATACATATAATAATTAATTGAATTTTCAAATAAAAAAGTGTTGAATACTCATATCTACATGATTAATGATTTAATTTAGGAATTGTATATAAATATCTTTGACCAAGTTTAATTTACTAGGCGGCGCTCAGCCTGTCATTCCGCTGAATCTTTATCATTATGTTTATGAACATAATAGCCTGGGGTCCCCAGGTAAAGTTTAATTGACTATGAGAATGCACCCTGCACTTGGCGCGCGCGGTGGCTTTGATGTGGCGGCTACATGTTAGGCAGCTGACGATAAGATGCCGCGCGCGTTCAGCGTACGGCTTTTCGTTTTTGATTTTACAAAGCAACTTCTAATGATTGTTAATGAAATTATCGGATATTTATAATTCAATATGTATTGATTCTTCTGTGGAAAATAAAAATTGTATTAAAAAAGAGTGATCTATTGAGTTGTCACTACCACATACAATCTTCTTGCAGCATCTTTAATTCCAAAGTTGTACCTTAGGGCTAAGGCGTCATTGAATTTTTTGCTTGTTGAGACAGAGTCCATATGATTTGAGCGGGAGTGATGAAAGCCAAAAACTTGCCACATTCTCTGATGTAAGATCTCATTGTAAATTTTGGGTTTCATCCAGGTCTTTTGTAACCTCATCTTTTCTCTCCTTGAAAAACTCTATCCTTGATTTTCGGATTTGGGTCTTGATCTATGCAAGTTTTTCCAATTTAAAGTTGAATCATATTTATGTTCTTAAACTGTACATTAGGTAACTTATGTTTAACAGGGATCACTTCTGAACAACATCACCTAGTAGGTCCTCCGATCACTCCTGGTCCGAATCTTTTTGTAGATCCAATTGAAAGAGTGAGTTGTTAGTGATGGCGGTGTACCTGGGGAACTTTGGGAAAGTCCCCCAGGTTCCCTGAAGTTCCCAAAATTACCCAAAGTTACCCTTGGACCCCCCCTAAACTTTAATTTAAGTATGTACTGAGGGATCTATCGAATAATGAATTGTGTCTCCTCGGTCGACTCAGATAAATAATCGAAAATGTGATGGAGAGTTAAATGAAGACCTACCAAAAGACCATATGATATCTGCTATACTACACTGTAGTGTATTGTAAATATAGTACTACACCAGTCATCATTACACATCTCAGTGAAACCTTGGTCAACTTAGATCTAGCATCTACATTTAGTAGAAATGCTCCCTGTAGGTGCTTTAATTTGTAGTAGAAACATAATCATTTTATTCAAACAATATGCACTAATAAATTTAGCAATGGTAATTGTCTAACTATAAGGTTAGACACCCAAAAGTAAACTTCTGTCGATAAATTAGTTTAAATTTAAATTTAAATTGAGTAGAGATCTAAGTAACAAAATTAGAAATGAATTAATCTTTTAAAACTGACAGTTTTTGGGTTTTCCAAATAGTTTCTGATTATTCTGATTTGCGACAAATGATATTGCACTGTTAACTGAGTAAAAAAGTTTAAAACTGAGTAACATTTACAAAAACATTTACAGTAAAAGTAGCAAAATGACACTTCAACGTACTGATTCTTAATTCATTTTAAATCTGCTATTTTGACTACACTAAGAGCAATAATTTTTGTTTTCAATAGGTCAAATCTTACACTTTTCCTCATTTGTGTCTTTGCCTCACTATATCTTTCATAGTGACATAATCGTTTCGTTGACTGACTTATCGAAGACTCCAAGCCATGTCCGATTTCTTTGAAATATTTAGCTTGGCGACTTATATTTTTCTCTGGTTAACAGATTTCAAATGTTTAATTAATTTGTAGTATGACAGTATATAAGAAGTTATTTAATTTTGCTTGGGCTGTTGTGTTGACTGTTGGGGTTTAGTGGTGGTATGGAATTTGAATTTTATATAAATTTACACTATGAGGTTGGGGCATTTTGCATAGTAAATATGGTTACTACTCCTATATATAACAGTTCTAACAAAAGTAAAGAACAACATATGGGAAACTTTCTCTTTATGACTATGTGTGATCCTTGCTTTACACATCATCAAGTGAAGCAGACTAGCACAACTAATGATCATGTTCAGGTACTTGACAACCGAGTAACTCACTTAGCTAGTGATGTCACAGAGATTAAGAAATTATTGGAGAATGTAATTGCTGGGAAATCTATTAACCATTCCCCTGTTGATAATCTCATCTCGATAGCCAAAGCACAGTGTACCTTGAAACCAGCTACTGATCAGGGTGAGAACGTGTGGCTCGATGAAATAAGAACAAAATCCTTGCTGGTTGTTGCAAAAGGTGCTAATGTTCCATGTAAAGATCTAGAAAAAACAG